AAGTGCAGTTTTTAGCAAAAATGTCATAAATCACAGTCATCTGATTGCAGGATGCTGCAAACAGCTGTAAATACCAAGTGTATGAAATGCAGTCACGTGAACAGGGGACCATTAGAACTTGGAACAAGGTCATAAATACCTATTGGGGGATCTGTTGCAGAGGTGGTATTCATCAGGTTCCGACCAGTTCTGGAGGACTGGTAGCAGAAATTTAGAGTAGTTCGGAATACCACCTCTGACTGGCCCCGCCCCCATCTACTCTCTGCCTCCCGAGTCCCAGCTGATTGGCTGGATCTTCTTTTGTTGCTCTGCACAGGAGAACGGAGCTGGAAAGCAGGTTAGTGGGGTGGGGAGGGAATGGGGATTTTACAGTATCCTTCCCCTGCCATGCCTGCCACGCCTACAGAACCAGTAGTAAAAAAAATTGAATCCCACCACTGACCTGTTGTAACCTTCTCTGGTTCTGATCATCATCATTCTTCTATCCTATAAGCCAATGTTTCTCAACCAAGCATGCTGGCTGGGGAATTGTGGGAGTTGAAGTCCACACATTTTTTTAACAGTTTATTTATATTTTTTCCTTAACATACATAAGTGCTTTATGGATAGCGTACTGTCTGGGTTAATTTGCTTATATATAGTATATAATATAGTATATTAAACATAAGATATACATAATAGTATTTTTCCAGTTTTAATTTCTACTACTATTGTCCAACCATCGATAAAATAAGTCCCATGTTTGAAAATATTCCATATCTTCCTTATCTTTTATTTTGAATGTCAACATATTCATTTCTGCACAATCTAGTATTGGTTTAATTACATCTTCTTCTAAGGGTGGTTTCTCATTTTTCCAGTGTTGAGCATATGACAATTCTTGCTGCCGTCATTCATTTAATATTAAATATATATTCTCTTTATCGTATTTTTCTGGTACTATGCCTAACAGAAATATTTCTAGCTTATAGTCTATGTGTTGCTTTTACATTTTTTCAACCATGTATGTATTTTTGTCCAATACTTTTTTGCCTTTGCCCATGTCCACCACATGGTAATATGTGCCCGGTGTCTGATTACATTTCCAACATTTGGCGGACATGTTTTTAAACATCTTTGCCAATCTTGCCGGTGGTAAATGTCACCTATAAAACATTTTATAGAAATTTTCCTTATACGCAGTTGTCATTGTCAATTTATACTTTCTATCCCAAAGTTTTTGTCATTTGTCTAATTCTGGGAGTTGAAGTCCACAAGTCTTCAAGTTGCCAAGTTTGGAGACCTCTGCTTTAGAGCATTGATGTTGCTAAGGGTGGGTAATTCCAGTTCTTATGCCTTCTGACTTGCTTTTTTCTTTTCTTTTTTTGGTTATTTGTTCAGGGGAAGAAAAGGGGAGGGGGAATCCACCCCTTCTAGAAGCTCAAAGCTGTCGTTTTGTAAAAGTACAGTACACATTAAGCCATGTTCTTGCATCATCTGGTGTTAGAACAGATTTCTAGCGCACGCTGCAGCTCCTTGGCTTCGTGACTTGGATCTCGGCCTGCTTTCAGTTATCTAACCCTCCCTGGCATGCTTTTGGGCTGCACACGGCCCTTTTCCTTTCCAGTCTCCCATCATAGGCTTTCATGTATTAAGACAAATCCTGTGTTTTGACAGCTGATGCAGCTTGGTGCTTGTGAGAGGGAGTCACGAATCTGGATGCTCTCAGTTTGAATCTCCTCTGTACTTTGAACTTGTCAGTTGGTTAGGTAGTTGGCGTATGGAAAGAACTTCTCTCCCTCTCACAGGTTGGTTTTCGAGTTGGAGGGAATAATAATTGGGAGCTAAGATTGTCCCAAAGATGCTTTTTCAGAAGGCAACTGGACTTCGTTTTTTCCTTGAGGACGTTTCGCTCCTCATCCAAGAAGCTTCTTCAGTTCTGGAGAACTTGTAGAAGTTTCTTGGATGAGAAGCAAAACATCTTCAAGGAAAAAACAAAGTCCAGTTGCCTTCTGGAAAAGCACCTTTGGGACAACCATGACCTGGATGACTGAGAATCTCCATAGACACTTAGTGCTAAGATGTACATTTGAAGCTGAAGCCCCTCAAGACTTCCCAGCGCCCTTATGAAATTGTAATTATACTGGGCCCAAGGAGAGGCTATTACATAATAATAATTGCCTGCTTTCAGAGAGTACTCTTATTAATGCATTGATCTGAAATATGTTTAAAAACCAATTTCAAATAAATCCATTTTTGTTTTGTGTTAGCCTCTAGCATTAGGAGTCATTAGGATCCTATGTAAGTGATAATGATTATTAACAATATTTTTCTTAACATGTCTGATATAACAATTTTGAAAACAAAGTTTGATTCATTGTTGTTGTACCAAGTGTTGCAAGACTTAGGAAAAGCAAGTTTAAAAAATTACAAACCATCATGACTTGCAAATCAAAGTCAAATGCTTATAGAAAAAGAAATTTGCTGTTATATTAATCATGATGGGAGTTTTTGGAGTAATATCTATAGAACTCTCTTGATGTTTGGACACTTTAAATGTGTTGGACCTGAATGTTCTATTTTTTTAAATAGCTTGCTTGGAACTACCTATATAGCCTCAGATACTACCAATAATTCTTAGGTCCTTGGACTTGAATTATTACATTTCCCCCAGTTTTTGACAGTGAATCTAATAGGCTACCCTATAATTATGGTTTGTCACACAGCCAGATGTTTAGACGATATGGCATTTTGTCAAAGTATTGAATCCTTGAAGCTGGATTCCCAAGGACCCAAGCTAGGCAGATGTTGATGTTTAACATATATTGTCACAGGATGTAAGCTATTCCAAGCAAAGCTGCCTTTTGCAATTGATTGAGGGCAATTTTGTCAATACAGATGGCATTCAAATGGTGCTATGGATGTTTTCAACTTGCATCCAAGACACCTGTTAGAATTGTTGCCATCTTTCTGACGTCTCCAAGTATTATAATATCCACTGTCCATGTTGTTTTTAATCTTATCGACAATTGTTAACTCTGGGGTGTTGTGTGGCAGCTGTGTTTGAATTCTAAAGCCGCCAAGCATTTAAGCTGCTATATTTTCTATTACTTTGCCTATGTTGTGGTCTCTCCCAGTACTTGCCTTCAGGCAAATGGTATTTCCTGCAGATATTCCAATTATTATTATTCTTATTTCGGGAAGGTGGAAATCAATCCCTAGCCCAGTTTCCGTCCTAGATTACTGAAAGTTCCCTCCTCTCTCCAGCTTTATTGGGCCGATTGAAATCTTGCTTCCCCTAATTTTGTTTCTTCTAGCTGGCTGTAACAGGCTCGCCTAGCTATTTGCGATGCTGGGTGGAAAGTTTTGGCAACGTTGCGATTCCGGCAAAGGTCAGCGCACAATGTTGCTCTTTTGCTTGTAGGGGGGAGAGCGTAGGGTTGATGGTGCATGAAACTCGGCCAGCCTTTCCCGCTTCTGCTTCGTCATTGCCCGAAAGCCGAAGTGACTGCACCATTGAGCAGCAAAACCCATGTCTTCTTCCTTTATTCTTGTTTTAAAAGAGAGAGAGAAAGAAATGCAGGAAGGATTATGAGCCAGAGCAGCTGCAGCAATGCTTTGAATGCATTGTGTGGAGGTCTCTGTTTTGACCTGGCGAAATCCTTCATCATAGCCTAACCACGAAGGGGTGACTCATTCAGTCCCCAAATACTGAGGAGAGCAAACTTTCAGCTCTGAAAACTTTCCCAAGCGGGTGGGGAGAAGGAAACCAACCCCCTTTTGAAAATATCTCCCCCTCCAATCTCTCTTTTCTGCAGAGGATTCCAGAAGACCTCACTCTCGATGCCTTCTTGGAGATGAACGACTTGAAAGTCAAAGATACGATGAAGAGATACGGGGCCAGCACTGAAGAATGTTCCCGCCTGAACGGAGCCCTCGCCTGCTTGAAGAAAGCAACGCGGATGGGTAAAGAAAGGCTCCTGGGTACAAGTGGGATTTTGTCCAGGGCGGGAGGAGAAGAGAATGGGGCTTTGGGAAGGAAGAAGGATTCCTTGAGTTCACAGGGAGATGGAGGCTAACCCAGAGAGAAGAGGGGAGTGGGAAAAGTGGGAGCAGGCTTCAAGCACCGTGGGAGGAGTTGTTGTGACTTGCCGACGTGCTTTCAGAAGTCGTGAGTGCTCCAACACTGGAGGATTTTAAGAAGAGAGTGGACAACCATTTGTCTGAAATGGTATAGGATTTTTCTGCCTGAGCTGGACTAGAAGATCTCTAAGGTCCTTTCCACCTCTTATTTTGTAATTCTGGGTTTGTTTGCTTTGCACATGGCAACAGGTTAGACCTTAGAAAGGCGTGGGTGGAAGAGTTAAGATGGGCTGAACACTAGGAGGGTGGGATTTTAAAGATAGCTCATGAAAGCCTTGAGGGGCAACCTCCCAACTCCCAAAGCTAATATCGTATCAAAATATTTAAGAAGAATATATTGAAATTGATGAATTGGAAAAATAGCCCAGTTCACCACATTTAATTTAAATTCAAGGGAAGTGAAACTGAATGGGTTTTTTTTTTATTTTGGGTTTCCTGACCCCCTACTTTATGGAAGGGTGCCTGCTTTGGGTTCAAAATCTCCCACAGTCCCCATGCAGCCCTAGTTTCCCCCGCCCTCGCTCCCAGGAATATGATTCTTGGCAAAACAAGATTCCCCACTTCCGCTTTTAAGCCGTTATTTATGTATTCAGTTGTTATAGCATGCATTAAATCATCTGGCTGGAGAATTCTGGGAGTTGAAGTCTTCAAGTCTTAAAGTTGCCAAGTTTGGAGACCTATAGTTTAAGATGTGTGGACTTCAACTCCCAGAATTCCCAAGCCATGCACACTTGAAATGGGGGAAAGAGTTTAATGGGGAATTGAAACATGAAGTCATCTTACTGATTTACAAAGCAGTCCTGTGTATGTCTGTGAAGTCCTTGGTGCTCTCCTAGTTTGATTGTTTGCTTGCGTGCAGACGTTTCATGACCCAAGTAGGTAACATCATCATTGATAGAGGGAGGGTGGAGTTTGCTCCCTGTTTATATACAGCTGCTTGTCCTGCCAGGGTGGATTGTCTCCTTGGTAGTTTCTCAATGAAGGTATTGTTTTTACTTGGTTCTTCATCTCAAGTAGTTTCTTGGTTAGGATATTATTACCCAGTTAAGGCATAATTTAGTAAGTATTATTAGGTAACTATTAGGGTGTTGTCTCGACTGCAAGCAAATAACCAAGCTCAGAGAGCATCAAGGACTCCACAGTTCAACCCTGAGCTACAAATGCTCTTTTCTATTGAAACCGTGAGTAGGGACACTACCTTGTTTGCTTGTAGTAACAGAACCATGCAAATCTGAAAATACTTCTTTCGTCTCCTTTCCAGAGAACTAGGGTGTTCCTTTCTGAGATGCTGTTTCCACTCTGCCCCTACTGTGAGCTATCTCTTCTCCGAATATTATCTAGGCTGTGTTCCCCCCCCTCTTTATTCTAACAGCCCATTACACATTTGAATCAGAATAGAGCCGGAGGGTACCTTGGAGGTCTTCTAGTCCAACCCCCTGCTCAAGCAGAAGATACTATTTCAGACATGTGGCTGTCCAGTCTCTTCTTTAAAACCTCCAGTGATGGAGCACTCCCAACTTCTGAAGGCCAGCTGTTCCACTGGTTAATTGTCCTCACTGTTAGGAACTTTCTCCTTAATTCCAGGTTGCTTCTGTCCTTGATTAGTTTGCATCCATTGTTTCTTGTCCTGCCCTCTGGTGCTTTGGAGACTCACTAGTCTCTGTACAAGAGAAACTAAAGAGTAGAGCGTGGAACTTTAGCAAGGCAGCAGTTGTTAGTTTGAAATTATAGTTGCCAGCTATATATATATGTTTATATGTGTACACACACACACACACACACACACACACAAATTTCCATCTCCTTGGTCTGGTGTTTCTCAATAACAGAATATCAGATTTGGAAGAGACTTTGGCATTTTTCTTAACAAGTGTCTCACTTAGGAAAAGACATTTTGGGCTGAATTGTGGCCATAAGCCAAGGACTATCTGTAACAGAATAAGAGAGTTGGAAGGGACCTTGGAGGTCTTCTAGTCCAACCCCCTGCTCAGGCAGGAACTCCGACCATTTCAGGCAAATGGTCGTGAATCTCTTTTTAAAAACCTCCAGTGATCGAGGCACCCACAACTTCTGGAGGCAAGTTGTTCCACTGGTTAATTGTTCTCACTGTCAGGACATTTCTCCTTAGTTCTAGGTTGCTTCTTTCCTTGATTAGTTTCCATCCGTTGCTTCTTGTCCTGCCTTCAGGTGCTTTGGGGAATAGATTGACACCCCCCTCTTCTATATGGCAGCCCCTCAGATATTGGAACACTGCTATCATGTCACGCCTAGTCCTTCATTTCATTAAACTAGACATATCCAATTCCTGCAATCTGTTTCAGCCTCCAGCCCCCTAATCATCTTTGTTGCTGTTCTCTGCCCTCTTTCTAGAATCTAGAGCAGGGGTCTTCAAGCTTGACATCTTGAAGACTTGTGGACTTCAACTCCCAGAATTCTTCTTCCAGTCATCAGGAATTCTGGGAGTTGAAGTCCACAAGTCTTAAACTTGCCAAGTTTGAAGACCCTGCATCTAAAGTCTCAACCTCTTTTTTATATCGGCACATCTAAAACTGGATCTAATATTACAAGTGTGGCCTTACCCAGTCATTATAAAGTGACTTTATAATACCACTTGATATTTTTTTTGTGTATTAGCCCTTCATGTGTGTAGTCCACTAATTTTGTCAACCCTGACAACTTCAAGATGGCGTTGACCTCAGCTCTCAGAATTCCCCAGACAGCATGCCCACACAGTGCTTCTCCACACATGTTGAAGTCACCAAGGTTCAGAAACACTACCTTAGTCTGTCGTGTCCCACGTGCTCCTCATTGTTTCATCTATGGCTTTCTTGGAACAGTGTCTTCATAAACGGGTGGGCTTCAAAATTTTTAGCAAGGGCTTCTCTGCCTAGTTGCTGGGAGGGCGGGGCCATGGTGGGCGTGGCCTAGTTGGCCTCCTGCACCATGGCTGGTGTGGGGGGAGCATTTTTGCCCTCCCTGGGCTCCAGAGGCTTTCCACGAGCCTCCAGGAGGATGAAAATGGCCTCCCTGGGCTCTAGCGGCTCTCTGGAAGCTGGAAACGGGCCCATTTCCAGCCTTCCTAAACTTCTGGGAGGTCCGTTTTTGCCCTCCCTGAACCTCCACGCGCGCCCTGCACTTACCTGCATCCAAAACGGGCCATGTGGGGACTCGGGGGGGGGGGAGTGGTGGGCTGGGTGGGGCCAGGCCGGAGTGGGATTTGGGGGTTCTCCAAACTGCACAGAATCTTAGCTAGGGGCTCTCCCGAACCCCTGCGAACCCCCAGCAGCCCACCCCTGCCTTCATATCTCCTTGCAGGTGGAGAGTACAAAGACCACCTGGTGTGGAATCCACCCGATGTTTGCCGGGAAACCAGTCTGATGCCCCCTTCTGAACTTTCACCCTGCCCTCCAGGGCTCATGTGGATACAAGGCAGCCTTTCCCATTTGAAAGGCAATGGCCCACAGCCTCGTTCTGTCTCGGTCTCCACCGTCCCTTCTTCGGACAACATGCTCACGGGTCAAGGTCCCCCTACCTTCGCCGATAGCCTCTTGGAATCCTTTGCTTTCCCCACCCACTGCGGGCGGCGGAACCTCAGAACTCCTCACAGTACCGCCGTTACCCCACCAACCACGCCTCAGCTCAAGAGAGGGAAGCCACCACGGACTCCGCCCCCACCCAGCCGAAAGGTTTTCCAGCTGCTGCCCAACTTCCCAACTCTCACGAGGAGCAAATCTCACGAGTCCCAGCTCGGCAATCGGATAGATGAAGTTCCTCCTATGAAGTAAGTGCCTCTCCCTTGCTATTGGTATTAGATGTCAAACTCGATTTCATTGAGGGCCACATCACGGTTGTGTTTGACCTTTGGGGGAGGGCAGGGGTGTGTGGCCAGGGGAGGCATGGCCAGGTTGACGTCACTCCTGTCAGGGGCACCTGTGGTGGCCCAAGCGCTCTGCCAGCAAAAATGGGCTCCTGTGTTCTGTTTTCGGCTGTGACGGATTTGTGCAATCCTCTGCCAGAGAAAATGGAGTTCCATTTTCTGTGTCAGAGGCTGGCAGGAAGCTGTTGCAGCCGAAAACTGAGCTCGGGAGTCTATTTTCGCTGACAGAGGCACCGTGGGCCCTTTGCTGTTCCCAGGGTGGCCCCATGGGCCAGATCTAAGCACCCCATGGGCCAGATCTTGCCCCTGGGCCTTGAGTTTGACATCCCTGGCATAGCACATTCAAAGGCCTCCTGCATTGCTCCTGACCCTGGGAAAAATTCACTTCCGACTCTCAGGAAAGATGTTAAGACCTTCTGGTTCAGCTGTTGTTCCTTGAATTATATTATTCTTCATTGTTTTTCTTCGGGTCATCAGTAGTGTTTATTTGAAGAATGTAAGCCACCTTGAATGACTAACAGGTAACCCTCAGTTTATGACCGCAATTGGGATGAGAAACCTGGTCATAAGTTGTTATGGTTGTAAGTCAAGCCAGCCACAGGAGAAGAAGTGATTTTATGGACTTTTTTGCAGTGGTTGTTAAATGAATACACAGTTGTAAGTATGAATCCATGCATTTGAATGGACAGTTTTTGCCAGAAACAAACAAAAAAAAAACCCCACGAATCATGATCACCTGACCACAGAAGGCTACAATTGGTTGTGACAGTGACCAGTTGCCCGACTGTGATCACATGACCATGGGGGAGGGGCCCTGTACCCATTTACGATGCCAGGAGATGCTTTACGGTTTGTAAAGTACTCATTCCGTGGCCACTGTAAATGCAGACAGTCGAAGAATCATTAAGCCATTGGTCACAAATTGAGAACTACCTATTTAGCAGTGATTTCCAACCTTGGCAACTTCAAGCTGTATGGACTTTGACTCCCAGAATTCCCCAGTCACATGCTAGAGTTGAAATCCATGTAGCTTAAAGTTGCTGTTGAGAAACATTAGCTAATAGGTTGGAAGGATGGTAGGGTTGTTGTTGTGTTGTTGTTGTTTTGCAAGATGCTGCGTCTGAGTCAGAGTGTTGTGTTAATGGTTTTTATGCACAGCCTCTTAGCACATAGTTTTCAAAGTTACGGGCATTCTAATATTCAAATGGATCTAGTTTAAACATAGCCAGAGACCACAAGAATGGAAGCTTGAGGCCACTTTAACATTGAAATCCTTTGCAGTCTAAATATTTGTACAGAATTCATGCACATCCTCCCAATAATATACATGCTTTGGGAACCACTGGGGATGTGTGAGCAGAACTAGACTGACTGTTGAGACTGGGGGCTGCTGTAGCATTCTGGGGAGTATAAGGCAGGGGTCCCCAACCGCCGGTCCGCGGACCGGTACCGGGCCGCGGAACAAGCCTTACCGGGCCGCTGGTTGCTGGGCGCCGCCATCTTTTTTTTGGTAAAAAAGCGCTTCTGGTGAGCTTTTCCGGGTAGAAAGCTCACCGGAAGCGCCTTTTCGTCATAAAAAGATGGCGGCGCCCAGTTGACGCCGGTACCGGGCCGCGGCGCCCAGCTGATGTCGGTACCGGGCCGCGGCGTCGAAAAGGTTGGGGATCCCTGGTATAAGGGTCCCAATGGCCTCCATTAAATGAATGGAAGAGGATATAGGGATATAGGGGAGTTTTAGGGAAGATCTTTGTTTTAAAAAACAAAATGAAGTACAGGTAGCCCTCAAGTTATGACCACAATTGAGCCCAAAATATATGTTGCTAAATGAAACATTTGTTAAGTGAGCTTGCCCCATTTTATAACTTTCCTTGCTACAGGCGTTAAGTGAATTATTGCATTTTTTAAGTCAGTAACCTGGTTGTTAAGGAAATCTGGCTTTCCCATTGACTTTGCTTGTCAGAAGGACACCAAAGGTCCTACACAATAGGACCTTGGGACACAGCAATGGTCATAAGTATGGACCAGTTATCAAGCCTCTGAATTCTGATCATATTTTCATGGGGATGCTGCAAAGGTCATAACTTTAAAAAGCGGTCATAACTCACATCTTTCGGTGCCATTGTAACTTTTGAACTGTTGTAAATCGAGTACTACCTGTGTACCTGTAAACATACTGAGTAGTTAAGAAAAACAAAATAAAAACAAGGTAAATCAACCCCCAATTTTTAAAACTGCTGTTTGGTAGTGACAGAATTATGCAATGATGGTTAGCCAACCATGATTTGTAAGCCTTTTTCAGACCATGGCAATTAAAACAGCTTGGGTGGAAATGACACAAACCATGCTTTGCAAGCCAATTTTGGTGATTTCCCACAACGTATTTCAAGCATGAATGAATAACCCTGGTGGGATTCTGAATCCCTCAAAACTCTTACTAATGTTATTAATGTGGCTGAAGATACTAACTAATTGAGTAATGATCAAATTACTGTGTTTCCCCCAAAATAAGACCTGTCCCAAAATAACTCCTAGCATGTTTTTCTATGTGTGCCTAATATAAGCCCTACCCCCAAAATAAACCCTACTTAAATGCCTGCATAGCCAGCCGGCCGCTCACCCATTCCGTCTGGTTGCGGTGCCACAACCATGAGGTGAGACGGGGGAGTGGATCTGCCCCATGTGCCACACACCAGCTTACCTCAAGGCCCCTGCAGCCAGGCCATCCATGCTCCGACAACTGCCTCGCGGCGGCGGCAACATCGACAGCCATATGCAGCAGGAACCCATGGGGCCTCCAGCCCACTTCTTCTGCTTGCTTGCAGCTGCAATGGTGCAGGAGGCTAAGTGGTATGTTGGTGTTGTGGCTGCGAGGTGAAGAAGGTGTCAGGGTGAAGATGGCCTGGCTGGGGGGGCCCTGAGTTAAGCCGGTATGGGGTGCATGGGCAGCTCCACTACCCCCACCTTGCCTTGTGGCAACCACATGGAATGGGCAGTCAGCCCACTCACTCAGCAACTGCTGAATGACACTGAACAAAGTGGATTTATGACCAATCTGTGGTTCTGGAAGGTCTTAAAGAGCTGGTTCTTCTCCCAGCAAGAATATAATACAGTTCCTCCTCGATTTACAACTGGTTACTTCATGACTATTCAAAATTACAATGCACGTCCCTGGGAATACTTACAACCCGGTTCCAATGGGTGCTCCCTTCGTGTCATCCCACCCCCGGCCTCTTTTTATGACCATTTGCAGCATCCCTTGCTCATGTGACTGTGTTTTATGGTAGCATTGCTGAAAACCAGCAGTTACTTCAGGCTTTCAACAAAACTAGCCCGAAGCAAGCCATTAGTTTGCAGTTCGAAAACATTCAAATGCAAGTAGATAAATAGGTACCACCTTGGTGGGAAATCCAAGGATACAAGAGGAGCCTTCTTGGGTGTCCTCTGGGCAGTGGTGATATCTGGCTAATCCTTTCAATCCAAAAGCGCCTTGATAAGGTGCTTCCAATACAAATGTAGTAATAATGATCATAGTATTTGTTTAATGGCCACAGTGGTCACTTAACAACCACAGTAGTCACATAACTGTGGTGGTTGTTTAGTGATTGCTACAAAAAAAAGTTGTAAAAATCAGAACAGTGAATGTCCAAAGTTACAACCTTCACAACTCAAGATTGTGATGGGAAGGCTCGATTATAGTCCTTAATTGAGGACTACCTGTAGACACCCTTGTAGATTGTTTTCATGTTTGTCAGGTTTGCTATCTTGCTACTATTTTGTGCATTTTTGGATTACATGTTGTTTTTACGCTGTAGACTGCCCGGAGCTGATTGGAATCAGGCCAAGAATGTAGAACTAAGACTGTTTCTCTTGAACATAATTAGAACACAGGCTGAAAGATATTTGGAAGAGCTTTTAATTCTCCTTATTAGCTTGTAGGTAGGTAGGTAGGTACTCCTTGTTAGTAGCTTGTAGGTAGGTACTCCTTGACTTACAGCCCCAATTGGGACTGGGAAATTCATTATTAAGCAGCACAGTCATTAAGTGAGGCATCAGGTGACCGCAGCTGATTTTACAACCTCTTTTGCCATGGTAATTAAGTGAGTCACTGTGGTTGTTAAGGGAGGCACCACATTATCACAACAGAGCCCTGGTGGCTCCATGGTTAAAGTGCAGTAGAGGTTGTCCTCAACTTACAGCAGTTCATTTAGTGACCGTTCAAAGTTACAAGGGCACTGAAAAAAAGTGACTTATGACCATTTTTCACAGTTATGCCCTTTGCAGCATCCCCCTGATCACGTGGTCAGAATTCAGATACTTGGCAACTGGTTCATACTTATGACTGTTGCTGCGTCCTGGGGTTTTACGAGCTTCTGACAACCAAAGTCAGTGCGGAAGCCAGATTCCCTTAACAACCAGGTTAATAACTTATCAACTGCAATGGTTCATTTTAACAACTGTGGCAAGGAATGTCGTAAAATGGGACAAAACTCACTTATCAAATGTCTCACTTAACAACATAAATTTGGGGCTCAGTTGTGGTCGTAAGTCGAGGACTACCTGTATTTGCAGGTAGTCTGACCACAGGACTTCGATCCTGACCGTCTCAAGGTTGACTCGGCCTTCCATCTTTCTGAGGTCGGTAAAATGAGAACCCAGATTGTTGGGGGGGGGGCACTATGTAAATAACGTTTTGACATTGTAAACCACCTAGAGCAGGGGTCTCCAACCTTGGCAACTTTAAGACTTGTGGACTTCAACTCCCAGAATTCCTCAGCCAGCTTTGCTTGAAGTCCACAAGTCTTAACGTTGCTAAGGTTGGAGACCCCTGACCTAGAGAATGCTATATAAAGCATTATGGGAAGGTATCTAAAACTAAAATGCTATTGCTGTTATCATGATTTATGACTTTCCTTGTTGGCTTCCCTTTGATTTTTGCTGGCTGGGAAAATAGCAAATTGCGATCACGTGACCGCAGGATCCTGCAACCCTCGTGAATGCAAGCTGGTTGCCAAGCATCTGAATCTCAGTCATGTGATCACAAGGATGGGCTGGATGGTCGTAACTTCTAGGACAGGTCATAAGTCGTTTTTTTCCCCCAGCAACATTGTAACTTCAAACTGTCGTAAATCGAGGACTACCTGTCTTCAGAACCCATTGGTTAGATCAGAAGACAAAAGTATGCACAAGAAGAGTTGTTATGTGTGCTTTTTCATTGCTTTGCCTAGATCGGTGTTTCACAACTACGGCCATTTGAAGGTGTGCGGACTTCAACTCCCAGAATTCCCCATTGCTGGCTGGGGAATTCTGGGAGTTGAAGTCCACCTACCTTCAAATAGCCGAGGTTGAGAAACACTGGCTTAGAAGATTTGCCACATTCTGCCTCACATACAAACAATCTCAGATTCAACCCTAAACATCCTGGGAGCTGCAAAAACGCCTCCTTGTGAAATCTTGCAGAGATGTTGTCATGCAGCAGTGCTGAGTTGGATGATTCAATTGTGTGACTCAACTATAAAGTGATTTTTGTATGTTGACACAATCAATACATGATTACGACTCACTTTTTCTCCCTCCTTTCTTTTTGTCTCTTTTTAGATTTGGTAAGCGATGCTTTGTTTTGGCAAACTTTATTCCTGCTCCAGAGAGGGTGAAAAGACCACAGAAAGAATTATCTTCCTCAGAAAGTTGACCTCGGAATAGTAGGACCAACTTTTTGTTAATGAAAGTTTAAAAAAAAAATTAAGGGCAGGAGAGGAAGCTGACAAAGTACTTCCCCAAAGTGTTTGAGTCCCTGTATTCTGACTTCTCTCATACTTTCAATGATTATCAAGATATACCCATGTTTAAACTTGAGTCTCTCCAAGATGGTATTGGGTTCTTCGTGGTGCAACGTACTGTGGGAATCTAGCATGTTGTGTGAATCAGGCCATAATATAAAACTATACCTTGGTTTATTTGCTTTGGCAAGTCTGGAGCATGGTAACTGTGTTTGGTTAACCTGGGTTTTATTTCGATTAATCTAGCCACAAATTTTGTGTTTGAAGACGTATATATTAACATTCAGAGAATAATTTAAAGACACAATGGCACTCAACTTTCATCCACAATTGGAACCAGAACTTTGGTCGCTGATCAAGGCAATCACGAAGTGTGTCATGTCTGATTTGATGACCATTTCCCACCACATGGTTAAGCGAATGACTGCGGTTATTAAGGGAGTCGTGTGGTTGTTAAGCAAATCCCAGAATTCCTCAATTATGGTAGCCATTGCTGAGAATTCTGGGAATCAAAGTCCGCTCATTTGGAGAGCCTCCAGATTTGGGAAAGTTGTTTTAGGACAAATAGACCTGTCATTATATAGGTTCTTCATACCAGTCTTTCTCATCCTTGGTGTCCTTCAGTGTATTCGATCACATCACCTCACCAGCTTATGTGTCAAAATGGTGGGACACTGATGGGTGTTTTAAACCCTTTTGTCAGAGAACCTGAAGGTGCTTTTCCAAAAGGCAACTAGACTTGGCTTGGCTTTTTTCTTTGAAAACATTTTGCTTTGGGGGATGAAACATCCTGTTCTGACCTAGGCTTCCCAAGATCGTGAAGCAAACTCCTCATCCTGATAAACCACTTTAACCTAAATAAATTTGCTTGTGTGCGATGCTCCATTTGTGCTTACCTGGAACCAACCAACCACCACCACCACCCCACGCCAGTCTGCAAAGCCAGAAAGGTTGGAGACCCCTGCTTTACATTAAATGACCCAGTTACAATGTTCCTACCAGATGATCTTCTACTCATGCTTGGCTAAAATTGGAGACGAGCAGAGGCATTCTCTTGTATCTTTTTTTCCCCCCCCCAAGGCTCCTCTTTCAAGCCGATAAAAGGGAAATTGTTTTCAAAGTGCATTTTAGAGAGGAAGAGAATTTCAGATTGGTCTCGTAAATGGAGCACAGTCATTTTGCACGTGGCATAGTGCAGTGGGTAGCCAAGTAGGTTTTATTAGTATTTGTGCTGTGATCTTTAGCCATTCCTCTTTAAGAATACAGTGGGCATTTTTGAAAGGCTCCTGGAATCCAACCCTAAATACAGGTGGACCTCAACTTACGACCACAATTGAGCCGAAAATTCCTGTTGCTAAGTGAGACACTTGTTAAGTGAGATTTGCCCCATTTTATGACTTTTCTTGCCACAGTTGTTAAGTGAATCACTGGTTATTTTAGCAACAGGGTCGTAAATATGAACCACTTGCCAAGCATCTGAATTTTGATCGCTTAACTATGGGGATGCTGCAAAGGTCGTAACTGAAAAATGCTCAAAAGTCATTTTTTTTCAGTGTCGTTGTCACTGAACGAACTGTTGTAAGTCAGGAACTACCTGTACCTAATCAGCTACAAAACAGTTTTGATTTTAGGAATTTTCTCCTAAAAGTCTGTTTCTGGAAAATAAGGGTTATGTCCTGCCTGCTGTAGCAGTGGGGATATTCACTCCATTTCTGCCTGATAAGTCTTCGTGTATGCCTGCTTCTTACTCAAGTTTTTCAGTAGATACAGGGCTCCAGTAGTAACCCCCATTTAAATCATGAGTCTCTAGCCTGATTTTCAAAGCTCAAAGAAGATTTATTAGGAGAGGACATGCCAGTGCTGCCTGGGTATAGCTGACCCTGAGAAACATAATTCATTGTCACCCTTGACCAGGGGTGGGATTCAAATTTTTTAACAACTGGTTCTGTGGGCGTGGCTTAGGTGGTGGGCCTGGCTTGGTGGTCATGTGACTGGGTGGACGTGGCTTGGTGGTCATGTGACTGGCTGGGCATGGCCAACTCAACATCACTCACATCGAGGCACGCATCTCCTCTCCTGGCCTCTCATGACTGTGGGGATGCTGCAACAGTCGTAAGTATGAAAAATGGTCATAAGTCACTTTTTTCAGTGCCATTGTAACTTTGAATGGTCACTCTATACAAGCAAAGTACCAGCAAAGGAGGGAAAAAAACTCCAGAGACGTTCCTGAGACAGGAAGTCTAGTCCTGCCAAGACTGTAATAAGGGTTAATGGAGAGGCAGTTTCTGTAAGCAACACCAGAATGTTTCCTTCCTGCCTTCCTTACAGGATTAGGCCAGTAATTTCTTCTAACAACCGGTTCTCCAAACTGCTTAGAATTCTAGTGAATAAGTGCGAACTGGTAGTGAATAAGTGTGAACTGGTAGAATCCCACCCTTGCCCTTGACCCTGGTTTCCCCCCACCCCCTGGGTGTATCATAATTCATATTCTCCAATGGGACACATCCACAGCCAAGAATCATCAATCATACTCTCCAGTTAGAATTTTGCATGGCAGAAACTTTGGTCGCCTGGAAACTATCTATGAAACATCCATGAAATGCAGTTTCATTTTTGCAGCTGCTACACTACACCCCCCCCCTCTCTTTATGTTGGCAACTCTAAAAGACCAGAGAAATATTGTATGAGTTGACATAGCTCAGGGTTGAACTACGGAGTTCTTAGTGCCCCCTGAACATGGTTGTTTGCTAGCAGATCTTTCCTGACTCAACCAGGTTACATCATCAGTATGAAGGAGTTTAGATATTACCTAGTTGGGTCAGGAAACATCTACAAGCAAACAGAGACTAACACCAAGAATGCCACAACTCAAGTGTTTTAAAGAATTTGAGAACAGAGGGATCAAAGAGATAAAGAGAAAAAAGTTTGAATGCCACATCCTTGAGAATGATGCTGACAGCTAAAGTTACCTCTCCTGATAAGTTCACAGAAACATCCACTTTTCTTAGAAAGAATATGGGTGTGCCTTTTCCTTTTTTTTTTTTTTTTTAAAAAAAATTGAATTTAGTATAAACTTCTGGGGTTTGGTAGCTACCAAGTCATTTCGCCTGTCCTTAATTCTTCAAAATCAGCAAAAATCAGCTAGGTATTCTTGCCTTTATCTTAGAATATTAGATTATATCAAAAGAGGGTTGGGTAGTTTATGGGTTTTCACATTGTGGAATTTTAATGTTGAAAGCTGCCTAAAGTCACCGTGCCTGAGTTGGGTGATCATGCAAATGTGTTTAATAAATAAATAAATAAATAACTCTGGGGTGCCCCCCATTCTTCTCTTAATGCCCTCGGCACAGTCTTATCTTGCTTAATGGTTAAACCAGGGCTGTGGCTGAAGTTTCTGGAAATAGTGGTTCAACAGCCTCTGCGAGGCCACCTATATAGGCTAAGGCCACTATAATGCAGTTTCCTTGCTTATATTATAGCATGCTGCCTGAGGCGGCTTTTATACTTTCTAAAACATGGTTTATGAATTAGCATATGGAGTGAACCCTGCCCATTATGGCTGATTTAATAAACCGTGGCTAAACCAAAGTTAGTATTTTGTTTGAAGGCAGCCTACATCTGCACTAATAACTGTTCCTGTTGCCATAAATGGTCGCCAATCGATGGGCCGGGGACCATTGGTGGTCTGTGAGAAAATTTTGGTGGTCAGCAGAGAAATCTCCCCCCCCCCCAAAGCACTTCCCCCAAAGCAATTAATCCAGGGCTGCACAGGAACACAAGGCTGCGCCGGCCACATGGCCTGCCCACCCGCTGGCCCCCACCCTTCGGCTGAGCGCAAACCTTACCTCGAGTAGAGCCACGCGAGCTGGAGCTGGAAGGTAAGACCAATGACGGGGGAGGGAAATCCGCCCCGGGGTGGCTTGAGGACGTCAATTGGAAAGTTGGTTTCGTATTCCAGAGCTGCAGTAGTCACAGGACTGGCCCTTTGGTCATCCCGGAGCAGCTCCTCCAGTCCATGGCAGGCCGGTGCACCCAAGTGGAGGAGCAGTTGCTCTGGGATGACCAAAGGGCCAGTCCTGTGACTACTGCAGCTTTGGAATATGGAACCGACTTTCCCACCAACGTCAGCAAGCCAGTGTCAGTCAAAATTCGTATTAGTGGTCTGCGGGGGGTTATCCTGGAAGACTTTCAGGGCCCCTTCCAATTCTATTATTCCTACCAGCCTACTTAGGGATCCTAGCTGAAGAGGAGGAGCCCACATCTGAAAGCAGTAGCCTTCCCCAAATATCAAGCCTGAGGGTATCAGATTCTGGTTTTTCATGCTGCGTCCTCTGTTACATTTCTCTATCTAAGATTAGGGTTGGACTTGATTTGTCAAGAGTTCAAATCATTGGCCTTTCTCCCTATCCTTGTTTAATCTTACAATGCTTACATAAAGCCAGGCCAGATTAGAGTCCCCACAGTGGAGTGGAGTGGAGTGCAGCGGAGCGGAACAGAACAGAACAGAACAGAACAACAGAGTGTCAACTCATAAAATATTTCTATGGTCTTTTTAGAGTTGCCAACAGAAAGCGGGGAGGGGTTTGCAAAGAGTAGTGCAGCAGCTTGCAAAACCGAAACTGCATTCCATAAACGTTTTCAAAGATAGTAACTAGGTTACTGAAGTTTCTGCCGCACAAAATTCTAACTGGAGAGCATGATTGATGACTCTTGGCTATGCATGTGTCCCACTGAAGAATATGAATTACGGTACTGGGGGAAAACCAGGGTCAAGGGTGACAATGAATTATGTGCCTCAGAGTCAGCTGTACCCAGGCAGTGCCGGACAGTTTAACTCCCAATAAATCCTTTTTAAGTTTTGGAAGTTTGGCTCGAGACTCATGATTTAAATGGGGGTGACTACCGGAATCCTGACCCAGAGTTGGAAAGGACTTTGGAGGTCTTCTAGTCCAACCCTCTGTTCAAGCAGGAAACCCTATATTATAGGATTGGAAGGTATGTAAGAGGTCACCTAGTCCAACCCCATGCTTAATGCCAGGCTATTTAAGACTCAGTTTTGTGACAAAGGTTTATGACCTTGATTGCAATGGTCATTAAGTGAATGCTTCGGTTGTTAAGCAAACCAATGGCTCACTATATGGGCAGTTTTGCCGAAAACCAGACTTAGATACCAGTTTTCGACAAAACCAATACAAAACATGGTCACATGATCGTGGGATGTTGCAAATGGCTGTAAATGGTTGTTGAACATCTGACGTGCAGTCACATTACCGCAGGGGGTGCATGTCAGAACTTCAAATCCAAGTTGTAAGTGCCCGCAGGTATGTCAGAACAGTTGCTAAGCAACAGGCTGTAAGTTGAGGACTATCCACATAAACCAGGACATAACAATTAACCAGGAGTTCCAGCAAAAAAAAAAAAAAAATACATCATTTTTTCTAACTTTCCCATCAGTCCAGCTGGTGTCTGCTGGTATTGTTGTGGCAGATAGGAAAGCCTGTTTGGGCAACCATCTCGTATGTGTGTACAAATGTGATGTTTTGTGATAATTAAACTACCAGTGTCCCAACCTGCTGGAGTCTTATAATTGTCAGCAAACAGAATGACAATGCAATTAGAGGGGGGGAAAGCTGGGAGAAAAATTCTCATAAAATGGAGCAGATTTTATGAGAGTAAGACCACACCTAGACTGCTGCATCCAGTTTTGGTCACCACACTAAAAAAGAGATGTTGAGACTCTAGAAAAAGTGCAGAGAAGAGCAACCAGGATGATTAGGGGACTGGAGACTTAAGACATATGAAGAACAGTTACAGGAACTGGCCTTGGCTCGTCTAATGAAGAGAAGGACCAGAGGAGACATGATAGCAGTCTTCCAATATTTGAGGGGAAGGGGTCAAGCTAGTTTCCAAGGCACCTGAAGGCCAGGCAAGGAATAATGGATGGAAACTGAACAAGGAGAGATTTGACCTGGAGATAAGGAGAAATTTTCTGACAGTGAGAACAATCAACCAATGGAACAGAAGTTGCCTTCAGAAGTTGTGGGAGCTTCATCACTGGAAGCTTTCAAGAAGAGATTGGACTGCCATTTGTCAGAAATAGTGTAGGGTCTCCTGCTTGGGCGGGGGGTTGGACTAGATGACCTACAAGGTCCCTTCCAACTCTGTTAAATCTGTTAGATCCTGGATGCTCAGTAGCTTTGCATCTGGATTGTCAAATATTTGAATTCTTTTTTTTTTCTAGCTCTCTTTCCTTTATATCAGTGTTTCTCAACCTTAGGAACGTTAAGATAATGGCTTTCAACTCCCAGAATTCCCTAGTAGTCAGCCATGTTGGCTGGGGAAATCTGGGAACTGAGCTCCACTTCTTAAAGTTCCCAACGATGAGCAACACTGCTTTGCATAGTTCCTTCATTTCATCAGCCACCCAAACAGCATTACTACAAAATCGCTATCAGACACAACTGCCAAAAGACTGCTAACCCAAACCTCAATCTCATTATGAAGTGTTTCAAAACTCTGAACCATGAAATCATAAGCTCACAACCACAGATGTATGTGAAATTAGCCTTCTTTATATGACTAGGGGCAGAACAATCTAACCCTTGGGTGACAACATTATGCTTTCAGATATATGCATTGCATGTTCCTGCATTAGCAAATTTAACACCTAAAGGTCTACATTCATTTGAGAATAGTTTATTCTGTTCTGTCCTCTTGTGCTGTTGTAACTTTGAACAGTCACTAAGCGAACTATTGTAAGTCAAGGGTTACATGTATAATAAGTTCTTGGTAAGACCATACATTTGGTCACCACAATATAAAAAAGATGCAGAGACTCTGGAAAAAGTGCAGAGAAGAGCAACAAAGATGATTAGAGGGTTGGAGGTTAAAACATATGAAGAACAATTGAAGGAATTAGGTATGTCTAGTCTAGAGAAAAGAAGGATTAGGTGTAACATGATAGCAGTGTTTCAATATCAAAGAGGGGTGCAATTTATTTTCCAAAGCACCAGAGGGCAGGTTAAAAAGCAATGGATGGAAACTAATCAAGGAGAGAAGCAACCTAGAAATAAGGACAAATTTCTTGACAGTGAGAACATTAAACCAGTGGAACGGCTTGCCTTCAGAAGCTGTGGGGGTTCCATCATGGTAGATTTTCAAAAAGACAGGCATTTGTCTGGAATGGTATAAGGTCTCCTGCTATCCAAAGGGTTAGATTAGAAAACCCCCAAAGTCCCTTCCAACTCAGTTAATTCTGTTATTTTAATCTAAGGTGACCTCTAGTTGCTTCTGCTTCTGGAAGGACTTTATTGTTATTTGAACAACTTCATGGATTTATGGAAAATGAGCTTGCTACTCTTACATTCCCAGCAACTGACTGCTATTGTTGGGAAAACATTTTTAAAAAAAACACATTTTAAAAAAAAATTCTGTTGAGAAATAGACACGCAGTACCAGAAGACATTGAGAAATGAGAATTTGGTGCCATCTAGAGTTGGGAAGGGGTGGGGGAAACTGCTAGAAGCTTTATAAGGAGTGTTCCTCAACTTCGTCAAGTTTAAGATGGGAAGACTTCAATTCGCAGAATTTTTCCCAGCACTAAATAGCATTGAAATAAACCTTCCAAAGGCTTAAGGTACCCACTTCATCACTTAAAATGTCTGGCTCCTTCTTCCCCAGGGGATCCTGTAAACCACTATGGGTTGTATATAAGTCTAAGTGCTACTGTGTTTCCCTGAAAGTACGACCTACCCTGAAAACAAGCCCTGGCCTGACTTTCACATCTGTGTCTAATATAAGTCCTACCCCCCAAAATAACCCCTAGTTAAGCCCCGCCCACTGCAAAGCGCAGGCATAAAAATCAAGCCAGGGCAGGTGGAGTTGCCCCATGTGCACCCTGCACCCACTTACCTTAGGACCACTGCAGCCAGGCCACCCATGCGCCAACACCTGCCCAACTTCTTCTGCAGCTGCTTGCTGTGAGCAGCAGCACCAGTGCAATGAGCCTCATGGCATCTGGCTGCAAGTGGCCACTGAAGAAATCAGGCAATGGCACGACAAGTGTCAGGGCGTGGGAGGCGTGGCTATGATGGTCCTAACGTAAGCAGGTAAGACATCCCCTGAAAATAAGACCTGGTGCTTCTTTTGGGCCGAAAAGAAAATAAGACCGGATCTTATTTTGGGGGAAACACGGTATAGCCATTACTATTGCTATCCTGTCCCCATCCCCTTCTGGGATGCAGCTCTTGATGTGCTGTGCAAATCTAGATGTGAACCTCAGGCTAAGAAAAACTGCCCTTCTTGGGTAGAAGGTTGGTTGGTTGACATAGAGTACAGGTACTCCTCAACTTACGACCGCAGTCGGGACCAGAATTTCCATAGGTAAGCAAGGCGGTTAAGTGACTCATGCCTGATTTCATGAGCTTTTTCCCCATGATTGTTAAACAAATTATTGCAGTTGTTAACTGAAGCATGCGTCCATTAAGCAAATCTGGCTCTTCCCCCCCCTCCCCAATTGCTTTTTGAAGGCTACCTGGGAAGGTCACAAATGCTGATCATGTGACTCTTTGAGATGCTGCAACCATATAAATCCACGCTGGTTGCCAAGCAACTGAATTTTAATCACGTGACCAGGGGACGCTGCGATAATCGAACTTTTGAGGATTGGTCGTTAAGTAATTTTTTTCACTGCTATTGCAACGTCCAGTGGTCGCTAAATAAATCGTTTGTCAACTCATAAAACATTTCTGTGGTCTTTTTAGAGTTGCCAACAGAAAGGGAGAGGGAAGCAGTGCAGCAGCTTGCATTCCACAAATGTTTTCAAAGATAGTAACTAGGTGACCGAAGTTTCTGCCGTGCAAAATTCTAACTGGAGAGCATGATTGATGACTCTTGGCTATGGATGTGTCCCATTGGAGAATAGGAATTATGATACACTCAGGGAGTGGGGGAAAACCAGGGTCAAGGGTGACAATGAATTATATGTCTCAGAGTTGGCTACACCCAGGCAGTGCCAGCATATTAATTCCCAATAAATCCGTTTTAAGTTTTGAAAGTATGGCTCAAGAATCATGATTTAAATGGGGGTAACTGCCAGAACCCTGACATCGTTAAATAGAGGACTACTTGTACCAGAAGGTCCAAATGAGCCACCTAAAGCTGCCTCATTTGTGTCAAGGGTCCGACTGACGAGCCCAACCAAGCCAGCACTCCGAGACAATAAGACTTCTTCTCAAAGAACTGTTTCATTGAGTACACCATTTCGGCACGCATGAAAGCAAAACCAGCTCTAACTATTTCCTGCTTTAGTTTTAGTATTATTAAAGAATAGATGTTCTCCTCCCTCCTCGTCACAGGTCACACTGTCCAATTAAGTGTTCTGACAACTCCTTCCAGTCTGTGGCTAGCACCCGTTGAGATGACCTTGGTTCCCACAGGACAATCTGGTGTTATTTTCTGGTCTGGCATTCCAAGCCTCTTCCCTTTCCATTTTTTGAGAAAAGAAAAGATGGCTGCGATAGCCTAGATCTGTTTCAAAGTTGACAGGCTATCTGCCTTGCAGGCCATTTACATTTCAGTCAACTAATATGTCGACTTTTAAAAATCTTTATTTTCCTAGATTTACCCCAGGGATCGCCACAAGCGGTACGAAGAGATATCGGTCTGTCTGTAACGCATAGGTAAGTTTTTCAGGTGGTTGAACACGCAATCTCAATGAAGGTGCTCAGACATCCAGGTAGAGTTGTCTGCAGGTTAGCCATCCAAGTTAGAGTTGTCTGCAACATACTTTGGGGAGGAAACCCCTGAAGTTAGTGTGGCAGGAGTTGGTATATTACAACGACTCTCTGCCTAACTGCCTTGCTCTGACCAAGGAAGCTGCCTGGATGCCTCTCAAACTAACCACAAAAAGTTTAGTCTTAAGCTGCAATGATTCAACCTTCAGACAACCTCACACTAACCTTCGTGCCAGTCTGTCAAGGCAGGTTCCGATCCCCTGCAAGCCTTTGGCTGATCTGGGTGGGGCTGGATAAATTTCCCAGTTTAGTTGCATAATGTGGTGGGTGGGGGGAGAAAAGTTTGACGTGACAAGAGCCCTCTAAGAAAACCTACCTGTACAAGCACCATCATCTTAGAGACGGATGGCATTGTTGCTTTTCCAACTTTCGTTGCTCATTTAGCTATGGGAGTGGAGACGGGGGAAAAAGTGGAATCAATCAATCCAGATTTGTGGTATATTTCAAAACTCATTTACTGAAGCTAGGATGGGGAATTGTCTGGAATTGTAAGAGTTATACAGGTAGTCCTCAACTTGCAACCACAATGGGGAATGGCATTTCCATTGCTAAGCACAGCGGTTGCTTAAAAGAGTTGGACCCAATTTTATGACTTTTTTTAATGGTTGTTAAGCGAATAACTGGTTGCCAAACGCTCAAGTTTTGACCAAGTGACTGTGAAGATGCTTCAGTGGTCAAAAGTGCGAGTACTGGTTGTCAAGTCATTTTTTTCAGTGTCATATTCACTTCACATGGTCACTAAATGAATGGTTGTAAGTCCAGGACAATTTGTAGTCCGAAGTACAAGATGGTCAACAGGTTGCCTGCTCTTGTGTTAAGCAAAGTTTTGGATGCCTTCTACCAAAATTCAACTATTCAGATTCAGGGACTTTGAAATAGTTGCAACGGATTCTGCTCTGGGTTATTATTTCTCTTATTGTTGGTTTTGGTTTTTTTTTTCCAATTTGGATTTAATGGCATTTATTCTGAAGTTGCTTTCTGATAGAGGACTTCTTTTATACTTTCCACGATAAAGCAGTTCACTCTTTCCTTGTTTAATGGATTCCTTTGTTAAGCCTCTCTCTCTCTCCCTCTCCAGCAACAACCCAAAAAACAATAGTATAGAAAACTTGGCAGGCTTCTACGAGAGTGTTTCTCGACCTTGGTTGTAGAGATGTGGACTTCAACTCCTAGAATTCCCCAACCAGGAAGCTGAATTCCACATATCTTCAACCTGCCACGATCGAAAAACACTGCTCTATAAGAATCTGAAATAAGGCAGGTTATGCTAAAGCAAAGTCTCATCTCAAGACTGCTTATTAGGAATTTTGTGATGGTTTCAGATACAGTTGTCCTCTGTTTTGAATCTTCCCATCCTTCATCACCTATTGTTTTCCTTTTAAGGAGAGAGGAGAGGAAATAACAGCTTTGATTGGTTTGTTTGACATTAAAAGTCCTTCCTGAAAGCACCCAGAATAAGCATTGCAGAGGCTCCTGGTGACTTGTTCAGTTTGCATGCAAAGATGGTTACATCAGAGGCAAGAGACATGACCAAGCCTAACTACTATACAGCATTTGGTTCTTGATCAGTGAACTTTCTAATATCTGTCATTATAGATCTGATTTTGATTCTATAACATCCATGGAGCTCCAATTTCTATTAGTATTTTTATTTCCCCTTCTCTGGATTTACAAGACTACTCTACAAAGATGATTAGAGGGCTGGAGGTTAAAACATACAATGCATGGTTGCAAGAACTGGGCATGGGTAGTCTAGTGAAGAGAAGGACCAGGGGAGGCAGGATAGCAGTCTTCCAGTATTTGAGGGGCTGCCACAGAGAGGAAGAGGTCAAGCTATTCTCCAAAAAGCACCTCAAAGCCAGACAAGGAATAATGGATGGAAACTGAACAAGGACAGATTTAACCTGGAAATAAGGAGAAACTTTCTGACGGGGAGAACAATTCACCAATGGAACAGAAGTTGCCTTCAGAAGTTGTGGGAGCTTCATCACTGGAGGCTTTCAAGAAGAGACTTGGAATGCCATCTGTCAGAAATGATGTAGGGTCTCCTGCTTGGGCTGTGTGTGTTGAACTAGATGACCCTTCCAACTCTGTTCTTTTGTACTTCTGTACCTCTAAAACATTAGGTCTTCTGTAGGGAAGGTATGGAGCCAAAACATTTCCTAGAGAATTTCGTCACATAATACAGATAGTCCTCAACTTACAACCACAATTGAGCTCAAAATTTCTGTTGCTAAGCAAGATGGCTAAGTGAATTTCCCCTTATTTTACGACCTTTCTTCCCACGGTTGTTAAGTGAATGACTGCAGTTGATAAGTTAGTAACATGCCTGTTAAGTGAATCTGGCTTTACTTGTTAGAAGGTCACAAAAGATGATCACATGACCTTGGGATGCTGCAACCATCATAAATATTAATCAGTTGCCAAGCATCCAAATTTTGATCACGTGACCATGGGGATACTGCAACCGTCATAAGGGTGAAAAATGGACATAAGCACTTTTTTTAGTGCTGTTGCAACTTTGAACAGTCATTAAATGAACTGATGTAAGTTAAAGACTATCCTTATTTTGATATGTGGCCTCATAGTTTGCCTGGGTATCTTTCACCAATAATATTGCTTTCCTGAATCCAGTGTCTTCTTTTAGAGCTTTATTCTGTTTCCTCTCATTCAGGTTTTCTACAAAATCCTGGCTCTCTCAGGTGTGCCAAGTGTGTCAGAAAAGCATGATGTTTGGAGTAAAATGCAAACATTGCAGGTAAGCCAGTGATAATGGTGTTCTCCTTGTGGTTGAAAGTTATAGTCTAGGGGTCTCCAAACTTGGCAACTTTAAGACTTGTGGACTTCAACTACCAGAATTCTGGGAGTTGAAGTTCACAAGTCTTAAAACTTGCCAAGTTTGGGGACCCCTGTTATAGTCTGTAAAAACACAGCAAGCAAGCAAAGAACCCTAGCAGGGATTCACTTGGAGAATTCAACAGAACAGAAAGGAGGGAAATGACCAGAGAACCTGCATAGGTTTTTAAGATTGCACACTCAGCTCCAGAGCAGAAAAAGTCATTCCCCAAAGAGCTGCTGATTACAAGGATGGCTGTGTAAAATCTGCCAATTGCCCAGTGACTGATTATATGACTACTTCCAGCTGAGTAAGCGGAGATCATAAGAAAAATATAAAGCAGCCAAGTTCCTAAGTTCACTTGTTGAGTGTACAAGCTAATGGGAGTTTTGGGGAGAACCCCAAACAAATGTTTCTTCCTTAGTCACAAGATTATCTTTTGCTAAGTAAGAGCCTGGGAAGAGAATTTTAAAAAAAAAGCTTTTTTTTTTTTTTTTGCCCTGAATAGGGAAAGCAAAGGTCTGGAGTCTGTAATTATAATGTTTATCTTTCTGTCAGGAAAGAGTCAAAAGTGAATGAATCACTCTATGACTAACAGTGATTAATCAGTTCAGATAAAGTCTCTGCTATGAAAAGTGCCTGTGAAGCAACTTAAAGAAAATGGTCAAACAGGGAATAAGATCATTGGATGAGAATAACAAAAGCAAGAGAGGCTGAAAATACTCTGTGTAACTTTCCCTGAGCGTTCAAGAGGAGGAAAAGAGACATGGCAAAATGGGAAGATAGTATGGTTGATTCCTAAAGGCAGAGAGGATGCAGCTTTACACTACAAGAAATAATAATAATAATAAAAAAAGAGTCATTGTTTGACCTATACAGGTAGTCCTTGACTTACCACATAACTGACCCCCAAATTTCTGTTGTGAAGTGAGACAGTTGTTAAGTGAGTTTTGCCCAGTGGTGGGATTCAGCCGGGTCTCACCCTTCGGCTGAACGGGTTGTTAAATTGCTGGCTGCTAAAGAACCTGCTTAACTAGCAGAAGACTTAAGGATCGATCCTTAGTAGTTTGAGGGACCAGCCTTCCCTGGTACCTAATCATGACACAAACATGGTCATTATGACGCTATATTTTCCCTAACTTAAAAAACAACGACAACCTCCAGCATGATGTAATGGTTAGGATGCTGGCTTATGTTCGCAAAAACAAGTATTCTGATTTCCATTTAATGACAGAGTCATTGGATCAGTGGTGGTATTCTACCGGTTCGGCCCAGTTCTCCCGAGCCAGAAGCAGCGATGAGCAGCAGAGATCAAACCGGCTCTCTCCACCGCTCTGCTGTTGGGCCCACCCACCCGCCCAGCCTCCTTTACTCCCCTTTATCCTCTGCTTTTGAAGCACTGCTTTGCGCAGCAGCTGCTGAAGCGACCGGGAGAGCCCAGGCTTGCAGGAGGTGAGTTAGAACCAGGGGTGGGTTTCTACCGGTTCTGTCCACCTCTGTAGAACCAGTTGCTCCGAAGAGCAGCAGACATAGAACCTATGTCTGCTGCTGTTTTGGCCCGCCCGGGCTCTTACCTGATCTTTTATTTCCTGCTTTTTCAACTTCAGCTGCCATGTGAGGCACAGCTGCAGTTAAAAAAGCAGGAAAAAAAGTGCTTTTTCAAAGGCTGCTTCTCTGCACGCAGTGTGCTGATGACAGTTTACAGGCGTGCGCACAGTGTGCAGAGAAGCACATCGTAAATCACCGAACCTCATAAATCACCGAACTGGTAGTTAACCTTGTCAGATCCCACCCCTGGTTGGAACGCCTCTGTGCCTGTACAGAGTGCGCATTTGGTGCGTGCGCGCATGCAAAGTATGTGCACTAGAGGTGGTATTCAGCAGGTTCTGACCAGTTCTGGAGAACCAGTAGCATAAATTTTGAGTAGTTCGGAGAACTGGCAAATCCCACCTCTGACTGGAGATTTTCAAGTATCCTTCCCCTGCCACACCCACCAAGCCACACCCACAGAACCGTTAGTAAAAAAATTTGAATCCTACTACTGGTGTGCATGCATGCAAAGCGCACCCATTAAGCCACACCCACCAAAGCAGTGGTAAAACTTTTAGAATCCCACCACTGCATTGGAAGATCTTTGATCAGGGGTAGTTGTGGTTAATGGGAATTTCAATCCAACTCAGCTGCAGGACCTTGGAGCTTCCTAGCCAAGTTCTGTGGCTGAATTTGGTCTTTCCAATCCCAACTTCACACTCTGATCGGTGCCTCCTGCTTTCTTTTGAGAAAAGCAGTGGGAGTATTTCCTCTGTCCACCATTTAGCTTAGCTTGTACCTAATATGTCTTTTCCTTTTGCAGATTAAAATGTCACAATAAATGCACCAAAGAAGCCCCACCCTGTAGAATATCTTTCTTACCAAGTAAGTGCCGTTACATTCTCTTTAAACTTTTCTTCCTCTTACCGGATTACTTGCTGTTTAAGTTCAGTTTTATCCAGTTTGGGTCACTATATCATAAAAAAGATGTAGACAATGTGGAAAGAATGCCGTAAAGAGCAACAAAGATGATTAGGGGGCTGGAGGCTAAAACGTATGAAGAATAGTGGCAGGAATTGGGTTTGTCCACTCCAATGAAAAGAAGGGACTAGAGGGGACATGAATGCAGTGTTCCAATATTTGAGGGGCTGCAACAAAGAAAGGGGGTCAACCTATGGCATTTTCTAAAGCACCCAAAGGCAGGACAAGTAGCAATGGATGGAAACTAATCAAGAAGGGAAACAACCTGGCATTAAGGAGAAATTTCCTGACAGTGAAGAAAATTAATCATTGGAATGACTTGCCTCAAAAGGCAAGTGGGTGCTCCATCACTGGAAGCTTTTAAAAAGAGATTGGACAACGATTTGTCTGAAATGGTTTCCTGCTTGAGCAGGGGATTGGACTAGAAGACCTCCAAAGTTCCTTCCAATTCTGTTATTCTGACTAATTGAGATACTTTGACATAACATATTACTCCATATTACTGTGGTTGGCTACAGAGTTAATCACTGGGATGGCATAGCATAGTATAGCATAGCATAGAACAGAATAGAATAGAACAGAACAGAATAGAATAGAACAGAATAGAATTCTTTTTGGCCAAGTATGATTGGACACACAAGAAATTTGTCTTGGTGCAAATGCCCTCAGTGTACATAAAAAGAAAAGGTACATTCATCAAGAATCATAAGGTACAACACTTAATGATATTCATGGAGTACAAATAAGTAATCAAATCATACTAGGAAGTCAATGTAAATCGTAACGATACAAGCAACAAAGTTACAGACATACAGTCACACAAGTGGGAGGAAATGGGTGATAGGAACAATGAGAAGATGAATAGTAATAGTAATGCAGACTTAGTAAACAGTTTGACAGTGCTGAGAAAATTATTTGTTTAGCAGAGTGATGGCATTTGGGAAAAACTGTCCTTGTGTCCAGTTGTTCTGATGTGCAGTGTTCTATAGCATCATTTTGAGGGTAGGAGTTGAAACAGTTTATGTCCGGGATGTGAAGGGTCTGTAGATATTTTCACAGTCCTCTTTTTGACTCATGCAGTATACAGGTCCTTGTTGGAAGGCAGGTTGGTAGTAATTGTTTTTTCTGCAGTTGTAATTATCCTCTGAAGTCTGTGTCTGTCTTGTTGGGTTGCAGAACCAAACCAGACAGTTATAGAGGTGCAGATGGTTTGCCTTCAGAAGTTGCAGGTGCTCCATCACTGGAGGTGACAATGAAGAGACTAGACAGCCATATCTTTAGAATGGTATAGGGACGGTCCCCTTCTTCAGCAGAGGCCTGGACTAGCACAGGTGTGTCAAACTCAAGGCCTGCAAGCCAGATCCAGCCTGTGGGGCCAGCCCGGAAATAGCAAAGGACCAGCCTGCGGTGCCTCTGGCAGCCAAAATGGGGTGCAGGGGGCTGTGTGCACCCCCATGTCTTATTTTTGGCCTAGACAGCATCTGTCATGCCCCGATCGGAGTCTGAATCTGAGGAGGAAGATGAACAGCTGACAGGGAGCGAAAGAGAAGCTCCGTTGGCTGTGGAGGAAACTGGGGAAGGGCAAAGTCAGGCTGGGCAGAGCAGGGAAGAGGTAGAACAAGGGAGAGGGGGTTCAGTGGAAGACCAAGGCCCACTCCCTCTTCATCCTAGGGCACACAGGGAAGAACAGAGAGCAACGTGGGTTGCATGGCTTATGAGGGAGGAAAGGGTCCTGATTCCCTTCACAAGGCACACCTGGGAAGGGAGTTTAAAGGAGAGGCAGTTTGGGAGGGACGTTTGTCGGAAGCAAACATTGAGTTTATCTCATGTTGGCTGCTGTTATGTGAATTCCTGGCATCCTCCCAACTGGTTTGATTTATTGCCGTGTTACTTCACTTCTGGAACTCCTTATCTTGCCCTGCTGGATCTGTTACCTTATCTTGTCTTGCTGAATTCATAGTTTAAAGTTTTCTGTTGATAACTATTTTGGGCTGGAATATCTGTAGTCAAAGGCTCTTGCAGGTTCCTGGGAGAGTTTTTCTCCAGACCGGAAGATAACAGGAACATTGAGGGCAAAGTTGGAGCTAACAAAGAGACCCCTACTTAACTATTCTGGCTGTGTTGCCTTTGTGCCACGTCCCGGGTCATCACAGCATCCTGCAGCACTCTGCCGGCCAAAACGGGGTGGGGGGTGGGGCCTTGCATGGCCTTCCCATGCCCTGGGTGCTGCAGGAGGTGTCCATCCTATTTCCCCCCTCCCACCCCTGGCTGACCCGCAGAGGAGAACTACAATGCTGATGCAGCCCTCGAAGAAATCCAGTTTGACACCCCTAGACTAGAAGATCTGCAAGGTCCCTTCCAACTCTGTTATTCTGAATTCAGTGTTGCTGTTATAGTTTTAAGAAGGCTAGGTAAAATGTTGACTTCTTCCCTCTGCTTCAATAGTACCACGGTTAAGGAGAACAGAGAGCGTCCCTTCCGATATCAACAATCCGGTGGACCGGCCTTCAGAACCGCAGTTTGGGACTCTCCCCAAAGCCCAAGCTAAAAAGGTACAGTATTGAATTTTACAAAGAACCACGCACACAGCCATGTGGGGTGAGGCCAAAGTTTTCAGTTGGATTCCTACACAGTGTTTAGCAAACACATTTTAGGGAAACCTATGCTAACTGAAAGCCAATATAGATAGTCCTCATCTTATGACCACAATTGGAACCAGAACTTCTGTTGTTAAGCAAGGTAGTTAAGTGAGTCACACTCAATTTTATGACATTTTTCCCAAGATTGATAAGCAAATCACTGCCTTTGTTAAGTAAATTACACAGTCATTAAGCAAATCCCCATTGAGTTTGCTTGTCAGAAGCTGGCTAGGAAGATTAGAGATGGCGAACATGATTCCAAGATGCTGCAACCATTGTAAATACATGCCAGTTGCCAAGTGCCCAAATTTTGAACACATGACTACAAGGATGCTGCAACAGTTGTAAGTTTCAGGATCATTTGCAATTGTAGTGCTGTTGTAATCTCAAATGGCTGCTAAATGGATGATTATAAGCCGAGAACTAACTGCATCTAGATGCCAGATTTTAGCAGCATTGTGATCTATGGAGAAAGCCATTTTGGGATTAAAAAGGCTGCAAGTGTTTTAGGAATTGACCATCCTGGCTTAAGAGGTTGGCCAGACATAGCCAGTTATGGCTTGATCTCGGAATCTTAAAACATTGCTAAGGGAGAAAAGCCAAGAAGGATGTTTTGTCTCATGTTCTCAAAAGTCACTAATTTCCAAGATTTCAGTGTTGCTTTGATCTCTCACAGGACCATCCCACAGCAATCAATCACCTCGACTCCAGTAGCAACCCATCTTCTACCACCTCTTCCACACCATCCTCTCCAGCTCCCTTCCAGTCTTCCAACCCCCCTAGCGCAACACCTCCCCCAAACCCATCTCCCATGGGACAGCGGGACAGCCGGTTCAACTTCCCAGGTAAGTGGTTTTCAGAAGAGCAAAAAACCCAGGTTTGCTGAAGACTTGCTCAGCCAAAGAAGAAATGAAAATGAAAATTCAACTCAGTACATTTAAGATATAACCTGTTTGTCTTAATGTGCTTTTCTTTGCCATGGCATCTTGTTTTAATTCATCAGTTACTCACTAACAAGCGTTGTCTGGGCAATGTTCATATGAAAACAATAAAGCCACCCACCCCACATTTATTTATTAAATTTATGTGCTGCCCATCAATATCAAAAGTGATATTGATGATAGAAATGATTCTCCTCTATCTTGTTCCAAGAGTGCCTAGCCTAGTCAAAAGAAAAACATCGTAGTTTTGTGATATTAAATGTCTGCAATTAAAAATCCCGCCACAAACCTATTTCTTTGCCTGCTGACATTTTTGTAGTGAGTCTGTAGCAGGTCACTTAAAGATTAAGTCTGCTGTGTTCCCCTCCCCAGAGAAGTTGGGCACTTCCAAAATATTCTTAGCCTGAACCTTTTGTGGAATAGAACAGTGTTCATATGTTCATCAGATCTTCTGCTGTAATAATTACTTGGCCCACATGTTCTCTGGGAATTTGTATACTTGCTAAAACATACTGATGTCATTCCCTCTCTGGAAAAAGCAAACATTACACGGAGTCCTCAAGTTATGACCACAACTTAGCCCAGAGTTTCTGTAGTTAAACAAGACTAGTGAATTTTGCTCCATTTTATGCCCATTTTTGCCACAGTTGTTAAGTGAATCATTGCAGTTGCTAAATTAGTAGCGTGGTTGTTACTTCTCCGTTGGCTTTCCTTGTCAGAAGGTCGCAAAAGGGGATCACATGACCCCAAGGCTCTGCAACCATCATAAATATGAGCCAGTTGTTAAGTGTCTGAATTTTGATTATTGACTATGAGGATGCCACAAAGGTGGGAAAAATGCTCAAAAGTCACTTTTTTCAGTAGCAGTCTAACTTTGATTCTGCAATGGTTGTAAGTGCAAGTACCCCATCGTAAGTCACTTTTTCTAGTGCCATTGTAGCTTCAAACGGTCACTAACCAAATAGTTGTAAGTTGAGGACTACCTGCAAGCAGCATAAAAAGGAGGGGAAGGGAACTCGGTTTCTGAATTGAGGCGATACCCCCTAGATCTGTTTCTCCACTAGAGACAGCCATATTTTGCTGCCTCTTCTAAATAATAAAAATAGCAATACAAGTAAATAAAATAATAAATAAATAAAAATAAAAGCATTTTCCAACTGGCTGCATGCTTCTCTAACTGGCTGCACTCAGAAGCATTGGTTGCTTATTTACAGTTTACTAACTCTGAACTGGGATTAATTTACTAGACAAACACACACACACACACATCGCCTCGTGTGCTAACTACTGTGATCTTTTATTTTTTATTTTTCTCTTCCCTTTTCCTCTCCTTTTCTGCCTAAACCAAACCAAACTAAACAGCTTCTCACTACATTCAACACAGACAACAGTTTATCTTTCCAGGTAAGTTTTATCTTCTAACAAGTAGCTGCTCAAACATCACTTTGTTTTCCTGCAATATTTTTTTTTTGTAAGCGCAGAGAGAAAGAGAGAGAGACAGATTTTTCTTCTGCATGTTGCACTCACACTGCCCTCCTGCTTTACTGAAAACACACACCATTCGTTTTTCTTGTTCCAATTCCTGTTAGTTGAGATCAAAAGTTTTATAAGGTGTGTGTTACTGCGACATAAAATAAAGCATGATCTTTGATCTTCCTCTGCACAAATCAATTCAACATATTTCCCCTTTTATGAACAATTAGATAACCTGTGATCTATTAGAGAGAGATTTCCTTACCACATTCTTCAAAGTCTTCCATAGGCACAGAGCTTCTAATGCGCTGCCTTCACTGGAAAAGTTGGGATACAATCAGAGATGTACCTGAGATATAGCCCAGGGGGGACCTGAGATATAGCCGAGAGATGTACCTGAGTTATAGCCCTGGCTTACTTCAACTCCCAGAATTTCCCAGCCAGCTTTGCTTAAAGTTGCCAAGGCTGGAAACGCCCTGATATAGCCATGTAGGACTGTATAGCATAAACACCAGCACAGGAAAATATTTAATGGCCTTTTGCTCTGTGTCATAAACCGTTTTGTGGTAATTTCAAGGTCATGAAGTGTTTTATAAAATCTGCCAAATTTCAGTTAAATGGGAGGCTCACATTTTGGTCCCGTGTTTTGTAAATTGACCTGTTTAAGATAACCTTGGTTCAAGAATTGTTGCACTGTTTCTCCCAATGAAAGGTTACAGGGACGAGAGTTTTAGTGGTACATAGATACCTATACATAAAAGTAGATGTTTATAAGCTAAAGAGGATAGGACTAAATTGAAACAAGGTTGGAGAGCAAACCACTGCCAAAACATATAAAGTAGTGCTAATGTCAATTATCAATTGTACTGTATCCGTAGGATTGTGGCAGAAAGGCAAGACGGCAGATATGGTGTCAGGATGCAACCCCCACCCCTCCATACCTTTTGAACAGGCAGGGTCTGCATCACAGGGACTCTGCCATATTGCCTTTTTTTTTTTTAACCCTTCCCCTCTCCTCCTGTGAATGCCACTCATCATGATTGATGGTTTTTCAGACTGAAAAGTTGGGATGCAGTAGAGACAAATCCCATTTTGGAAGGTTCCTGTGTGTGAAAACAAATTAATAAATCCATAATTGAGAGGTCCTTGGTGCTCTCTGAGCTTGATTGTGTTTTGGCAGACATTTCATTACCCAACCAGGTAACATCATCAGTGCTAGTAAGGAATGGGGTCTGCTCTCAGTTTATATTCTACTGGCTTGCCCTGTCAGTGTTGATGGGAACGGTCTTGGAGGTTCTTTGGTTGAGCTTGTTACTGTTGGCTTATTTGGCAGTTCCTTGATTGAGGTATTGTTTACTTCTTGATTGTTGCTCTAAAAGCAACAAGACTCAGCCCCAAGGATGCCTCTCTCAACCCTGAGCTACAAACACTTTCTTTTATTAAATATTTTATTGCTTCTAGATAGGAATTTATAGAGGGTGTCTGATCCCCCAACTAAAACTAGTCCGGCCTCAAGCAAGCTTTACCCTGTGGCTTTGTGGGTTATACATTTCGTCTTTTTGGTTCTCTATAGCTAAATATTTATTTGATGTGTGTTACTGAACTTGCTAAAAACAGAGAATTGTGAACATCCGTCTTTCCCTCCTACCCTATATATTCTTCTTTCTTTTAGAAATTCCTGGAACTCCACAAATAACGCAGCCTCCTGAAACTACGGAAAGTACTAAGTAAGCCCCTCTTTATTTATTTCTAGCATTTCTCTTTACAGGTAGGCTCCATTTACAACCATTCATTCAGCGGCCGTTCCAAATTACAACAGCAGTGAAAAAAGTGACTTATAAATATCATTGCCAAACTCAAATACAGTCAAAGGTCCGAAACTACCTGTTTATATTCACAATATGGAGGCTCTTACAAATTCCAATCCAAGGACAAAAATCAGTTGTATGGTGCCTCCTAGTGGTCAACAGCAAATATAACAATAGCATTCTTTTTTCTGTTCTACAGTAAAGATTTGATCTGGGTATCTGATTTGCCAGATGCTTCAGCCAACTGTGCTGAAACAACCTTACTCAAAATCCTTTTAATGAGGTGTCTTTCCACAGGGTTCCTTTCCTACCCAAGCAAGATAAGCTATAGACAGCTAGAGGTGGTATTTGCCGGTTCTCCATACTACTCAAAATTTCCGCAACCGGTATGCCAGAACCAGTACGAACCGGCTGAATATCACCTCTGGCTATAGGGTTAGCTTATCTTGCCTGTGGAAAGGTACCCCGTGGAAAGAGGGTTTCATGGCTAATAGTGGAGGAACCCCATTTAATCAAACGTCATATGTTTACTATAGCCTAATTAGAAAAAAAAAATCTTTCTGCATGCAATATGTTCAGGCCAGAATGATTGATTCTTCCTAGTAACAATTGCTGATAGGACCCAAAAGAAAGGGGAGATAAAAGTGGCTCTCGAGAAGAAAACCTATGCCTGTTGCAGCAAGATTGTGTTTTATATATATATACATCCTGTGGTGTTGTGTTATACATTTTATTCCACCCTTCCTTCCATGCCTTTCCCTGCATGTGTTCTTCACAACTGTCACACTGTCTTCTTTGCAGTCTAGACTGGAAGCAGTTAATCCCAGAAATGAGAATTGGAGAGCTTTGATGACTAGTAAACTCAATATTATTCGTGCATTCTGTTACCGTGAATTCCCTCACAAGCTTCTATAAAGCTGGAACCCATTGTTCGTCGATTGTAGTTTGAGTACAGCTATGCAAAGCCATGTCCATTAGGGAAAACAGTCTGAGGGGTCTTACTGTACAGCAGTGGCCCCCAACCTTTTTTGTACCACGGCCCGCTACCGGCATCACAAAATGATCCACAGACTGGTACCGGCATCAGCACGCACGGCAAGCCGAGGCAAGGCGAGCCGAGAGACCGACCAGCCAGCCATCCCCCGCTTCTCCCCACCACCTTCAACTCCTCCTTTGTACCTTTTTTGTGCTTTTTGGGCTCTTTCTTAATCTCCTCCTGAGTAACGCGAGACTCCACCGCCATCGGGACGGCTCTTCGTTCGAAGCCGCCCCCCCCCTTTGACGAAACTAAGGCGCGAGGATTTCTTCAGCACCCAAACGCCGCTTTCCAACAACTGACAACTGACAAACTCACCTCAAACTTTCTCAAGCGCCGTCGAAATAAGACGGCGGCGCCCAAGCAAACCGGCGGCCCAGTACAAAATGCTCCGCAGACTGGTACCAGTCCGGGGCCCGGTGGTTGGGGACCACTGCTGTACAGCATGAACATGAGCTACACCAAGGGAATTGTGTTCTTGTTTTCACAGTGTTAGTTGTATTAACAAATGTCTACATGGTTCTAGTAATAGATTACATGTTCTCACACTTCAGTGACTGCGGTTTTTGCTTCCGTGAGAGTTTTCAAGAACATTACAGGTAGTCCTTGACTTACAACAATTCATTTAGCAACCATTCAAAGTTACAACGGCCCCCCAAAAAGTAGCTTAAGCCCAAGTCCTCCCACTTATGACCGTCACAGCTTCTCCATGGTCATGTGATCAAAATTCAGGTGCTAGGCAAGGTTGAGAAAAGTGACTTTGGTAGATCATGCTGTGACTTTCATGGTTGAATGGAGTTTTGAACCCTGATATGGTCCAGCACTGGAACCGATCTACTGAATTGTCTTTCTTGGACTTTCTTGTTTTTCTTTGAAGATGTTTTGCTCTCTCAGAGCTTGGAGAAGCTTCTTGGATGAGAAGCAAAACGTCTTAGAAGAAAAACCAAGTAAGTCCAGTTGCCTGTTGAAAAAAGGCACCTTTGGGACAACCATGACCTGGATGACTGAGAATCTCCATAGACATCTACTGAATTGTCTTCTCAGCCCTGAGTTTCCTTCTCCTATAACAGTGGTGGCTAACCTTTTTGGGCTCCTGTGCCAAAAATGGTGCACGTGCTTGCATGCTCGCACTCCTGTGCCAGCACCCAGAAGACAATGCGCGCCCACGCCCCCTACACATGTGCGTGTAATCCCCACTCACCCACCCCCGCTGCCCCCTTACCTGCACTGCGCCTCACCGCTGATTTTCGGTGGGTTTGAGGCCTTTTTCGGCCTCCCAAAGGCTTGAGGAAGGCTTCCACAGGATTTGCAGGCCAAAAACTAGCCCCGTTTCGTCACTTCCGGTATTTTTGGAAGTGATGAAACGGGGCTAGTTTTCGGCCTGCAGAAGCCTTCCTCAAGCCTTTGGGAGGCCAAAAAAGGCCTCAAACCCACTGAAAATCAGCTGTGAGGCGCGCACATGCGCAATGTGGTAAGTTTGCCTGCAGATCGTGTGCCGGCACAAATGGCTCTGCGTGCCACCTGTGGCACGCTTTCCATAGGTTCGCCATCATGGTCCTATCATTTAACTCCTGCAGCATTATTTTGATACGATACCCAAAATGAATATTCTTCTTTAACATGAGTCTGAATGGAGTTGACAGCATGCACATTCAAAGAATAAGGATGATCTTGCAAGATCAGTACACCCATTCTCTCTTCTTTTGCTTCTCTCCAGCAATGCTGAGGTGCCCCTAGAGACTGATGGAGTTGAAGAACGGGACACAGAGGTAAGTTCCCCCTTTCTAGCAGTGCTTTCTACTAGCAGTGATGACGTGACCTAGTTTGGGTTAAGGAAACATCTGCAAGAAAAGAATCAAGTTCAGAGAGTGCCCAGAGCCCCTCATTTCAACCCCGAGCTACAAATAATCTCCTTTATTGACTATAGCTCATTTGGTGAATATGTCAGTATCCACGGAAGCTGAACGTAAGAGGATGACATAGGGAGGAACAGTGTTTCTCAGCCTGGGGAATTCTGGAAGTCCACATATCTTAAAAGGTGCTGAGATTAAATAACCCTGGGATAGAGAGTCTGTAGCCAAATATTGGCTACAGGTCATGTAATCCAGGTCATGGTTATCCCAAAGGTGCTTTTCCAAGAGGCAACTGGACTTTCTAGTTTTTCTTTGAAGATGTTATGCTTCTCATCCAAGAAGCTTCTTTAGCTCTAACAGGATTTTGGGGAAAGGAAGGATTTATATTCCTTGCAGACAGCTGGCCATTTGCATTCTTTTAGAGAGTCATTGAGGCCACCTAGAGGTTTATCTGTGTCCTCATGGCCACCTGAGTAGTGCTCCTGGTTTCTGTAGTCTGCAATTTTGTTTCCTTTCTTTTTTCCTCTGGAAATCCATTCCTACTCCCATACCATTCAAAGGGTTGGTTAAAAGTCTGTAGAGATTTTCAGTCATCGAGGTCATTGCTGTCCCAAAGGTGCTTTTTTCAGGAGGCAACTGGACTTCCTTGTTTTTTTCTTTGAAGAAAACAGAGAATAGCCTAAATAGTTGCACGATTGGTTCCATTGGGGGGGATGTGTGGTAGGATTCCAAGTCTGGGATGTTCATCTTCATTGCGATTGTTCCCCTTTTCTTCCCAAGCACACGGATGACCAAGAGCAAAACAAGATGGAAGCTGAGGATGATGAAGACGAAATTGATGACCTGCCAACTCGGCGTTCGCGATGGCGGGGGATGATCTCACGCAAGGCTAGCCAAACCAGCGTCTACTTGCAGGAATGGGACATTCCCTTTGAGCAGATTGAACTGGGAGATCCTATTGGCCAAGGACGGTGGGGCAAAGTGTACCGGGGGAGATGGCATGGAGAGGTGGCCATCCGCTTGCTGGAGATAGACGGAAACAACCAGGATCACCTGAAGCTCTTCAAGAAGGAAGTGATGAACTACCGGCAAACCAGGCATGAGAATGTGGTGCTTTTTATGGGGGCTTGCATGAACCCCCCTCATCTAGCAATCATTACCAGGTAAGGATCATCATCTTGGTTGATCTCAGGCCGTTTGTTTCCATTTGTATGACTGCTTATCTCCTAGTCAAGCCTTTGTGTGGCCAGTAACAATTACAAAATAGAACCTAAGAAGAGCATCAAAGGATAGTCTTTTTATGGTAGTACGTTTTTTTCTGAATTGCAAGCTGCCCTGAGTGATTGACTGAGATGGGTGGCTGTAGAAATCGAATGAATGAATGAATGAATGAATGAATAAATAAATAAATAAATAAATAAATTTCATGGTTGACTGAGCTGGATAGCTGTAGAAATCAAATGGTTGAATGAATGATTGAATGGATTTCATGATTGAGATGGGTGGCTGTAGAAATCAAATGAATGAATGAATGACTGAGATGGGTGGCTGTGGAAATTTAATGAATGAATGAATGAATGAATTTCATGATTGATTGAGATGGGTGGCTGTAGAAATCAAATGAATGAATGAATGAATAAATAAATAAATAAATAAATAAATTTCATGATTGACTGAGATGGATAGCTATAGAAATCAAATGGTTGAATGAATGATTGAATGATTGAATGGATTTCATGATTGAGATGGGTGGGTATGATTGAATAAATGAATGAATGACTGAGATGGGTGGCTGTGGAAATCAAATGAATGAATGAATTTCATGATTGATTGAGATGGGTGGCTGTAGAAATCAAATGAATGAATTTCATGATTGACTGAGATGGGTGGCTGTAGAAATTGAATGAATGAATGCATGAATTAATTAATTAATTTCATGATTGACAGATTGGTGGCTGTAGAAATCAAATAATAAGCAAATAAATAAATAAATAACATTCATGACCTTCCCAGTAGTTTTTCTTAACGACTACGTCATTCACTTAACAACTGCAGTAGTTTGCAGTTTCAACATGGCAAAAAAAGATAGTAAAATCAGATATGACTCGTTTAACAATCACCTTGCTTAGCAATGAATATTCTGGACCCAGTTGTGATGGTTCGTCAAGGACTACCCGTATGCTTCAGTGCAAGATACCAATTCAGCCTAGCTTAGGTTAGTTTTCATCAGACATAGCAGGTTGTATTTTTTGTATCAGGTTGAAGTTAAAGATGGGTTAATGATGACGGAATTTCTATTTTTTCAAAAAATAAGTGTTGCAATGTTGCCGATATTGAATATTTATTGAAAGCCAACAATAAATCTGTGTGTTTTTAAGGTCTGATTTTACTACCATAGCGAGTGGTTGCAACAACTGCAATTTATTTTGGCTGCAATCTGCTTTGAAGTCTTGCTAAAATGTAACATTTTTGAGAATATCATCCATGACATATTCTACCACTTGGGCATGGTTAAGCTGGTTTTCTGTTTTGGGGGGCAAGCTGTGTTTTCATGGTGAACACGGCTAGCTTTGATGCGACTGGGTGAAGAAGAGATATTGGAATTGTATGAAATGGGCTGTGCAGAGGTCCAAATTAAAAGGGGAAAAGTGATTCAGAGCTTGTGTGGGCACAAAAATATCATCAATCAGCATCTCCTTAACTCAAGCATCTTCTCCTGGATTGCATTCCAGCTGCAGAAGGGCATCTAGACAACCCCAGGACAAGATGTAGTTTCTTTAAGGAGCTGCTCATACTCTTCCTCCAAGTCATTTTTCCTCCTTGGAATCCATCACTCTAACATGTAAAGGTAGCCCTCAATTTATGACCATTCTCCTCAAATGGCAATTTCAGGTTATGATGGCTGCAGAAAAACACTTATGAGCCATCCTCAAATATATGACTGTTGCACCACCTTCAAGGTTCCATGATCCTTTTTGGTTGTTTTTTCTAATCTTAAACCTTTCACTCTCTTTCCCCCCTTTTCTTTTTTCCCCCCACTTAAAATTATTTGATCATTAAAGATGGCTTCTTCTTTGTCCCAATCTTCTTGTTCTGCAAGCGTTTCTTGTTGCTTCTCATAGTTCCAGATCTCCATTTCTAAGAATTGAAACACGAAGCCAAAAGAACTTCTCCCTTCTTGTGCGTCTTCTTTCTATTTTTAAAGTTCCGTTTTCAGTTCTTCTAAGAGTGATACCATTTTAAAAACTTTTAAACAACCACCCAGTTAATTTTAGTCATCTAGATGCAAAAACCAAAAATCACCAAGTAATCCAAATAATCCAAGGCTGTTTCTACTTGCTTCTTTTTTCCACTTTCTCTTCCTGGGGTTCTATTATTTTGTTACCAAGTTTCCATTAAAATGTATCTTTGAGGAATCTTGTTAAAATTTCACTGTAAATTCCTTTTAATTAACAGTTCCATTCCTTAATTCCAGGCAGTCTCCTCCATTTTTCCAGATCCTGCCCGTCTATTCTTTTTTTTTCTCCTTTCCAGCTTTTAAAAACTTTTAAATGTCCAGAAATCTTTATTTATCCCTTTGACTTTTATTTTCAGCTTAGATGCCTATTAATGTCAAAGTGGATTTTTTTTTTTCAGTTTCTTGCTTAAGTCTCTTAGCTGTCAGTATAAGGAAGGGAAGAAAAAAAACCTAATCCTTTCCCTTCTCTCTCCCCTTCGCAGCTTCAAAATCTTCTTTGGGAACAATGTTGTTAAGTTTAAATTCCAGGGTACCTTATTTGTTGCTTTTGCTGTTTGACCCGGTCAACCAAAACTTTCTCTTCTTATCTTCCTCCTGCACATTCTTTTCCGGTCGAGTTCTTCTTTGTGGTGGCCATTTCTGACCACCGCTACAACCGCCTTCGGGAAAGGGAGTAATGGCCAGCTGGGGAGGAGAGATGCGGCTCTCCTCAACCCTGCAGGCAGTCTCCCCCCTCTTCACCACCTCTATGGGGTGGCTTAGCCCAGAAACCAGCCGGCTCAGGGCGCTCCAGCGGCGAGCACAGATTGAAGCCTCGGAGAAACGAGGTTTCAGTCTGTCGCCAAAGAAGCTCAAACTGGAAGTCCCCTGCACATGCGCGCACTTCACAGCTGATTTTTTTCGGTTGGCTTGAGGCCTTTTTCGGCCTGCCAGAGGCTTGGAAAAAGTCTCTGCAAGGCTTTTCAGGATGAATTATAGGCCCATTTCATCACTTCCGGTATTACAGGAAGTGACAAAACGGACCTATAATTCAGCCTGAAAAGCCTTGCAGAGGCTTTTTCCAAGCCTCTGGGAGGCCAAAAAAGGCTTCAAACCAGCCAAAAAATCAGCTGTGAGGCGCAGTGCAGGTAAGGGGGTGGCAGGAGGGAGGGATTGTGCACGCATGCGCAGGGGGCGTGGGGAGGGGAGTGCGCATTGCATTCTGGGTGCTGGCATGCAAGTGCGTGCACACTGGTGCGCACGCAATATTTGGCACAGGAGCCCAAAAAGGTTAGGCACCACTGCTCTAGAAAGAGTGCCCAGAAGAGCAGCAAGGATGATTAGGGGACTGGAAGCTAAAACATATGAAGAATGGTTGCTGGAACTGAGTATGTCTAGTTTGATGAAAAGAAGGACTAGGGGTGACATGATAGCAGTCTTCCAATATCTCAGGGGCTGCCACAAAGGAGAGGCAGTCAAGCTATTCTCCAAAGCACCATTAGGCAGGACAAGAAGCGATGGATGGAAACTAGTCAAGGAAAGAAGCAACCTAGAATTAAGAAGAAATCCCCTGACAGTGAGAACAGTGGATTGGCTTGCCTCCAGAAGTTGTGAGTGCTGCAACACTGGGGGTTTATAAGAAGAGATTGGACAAGCATTTGACTGAAATAGTATAGGTTTCCTGCCTGAGCTGCGGGTTGGACTAGAAGACCTTCAAGGTCCCTTCCAACTTTGTTATTCTGCCACGATTCTCTGTGTTGCTTCATTCGGTCATTCTATTCTATTCTACATAAACCATCTGAGAGAGATGGGTGCAGAGGTGGTATTCAGCAGGTTCTGACCAGTTCTGGGGAACCGGTTGCGGACATTTTGAGTAGTTTGGAGAACCGGCAAATACCACCTCTGACTGGCTCCGCCCCCATCTATTCTCTGCCTCATGAGTCCCAGCTGATCGGCTGGGTCTTATTTTGTTGCCCTGCACAAGAGAATGGAACTGGAAAGCAGGTTAGTGGGGTGGGGAGGGAATGGAAATTTTGCAGTATCGTTCCCCTGCCATGCCCACCAAGCCATGCCACCAACCCACACCACCAAGCCATGCCCACAGAACTGGTAGTAAAAAATTGTTTGAATCCCACCATTGGATGGGTGGATCAAAAATCAGGGAGACGGAGACACACATGAAATCAGGTACGGTCATGTGATTGCTGATTCAATAACCACATCTCTTAGCTACCGAAATTCCAGTCCTAACTGTGGTCATAAGTCAAGGACTACCTGTATTGCTTCTACAGTAGATGCCAATTGTTGTTAAGCTTTCTTGCTAACGTACTTGTCTGTCTATGTTCCTTAGTTTCTGCAAAGGAAGGACGCTTCACTCAGTGGTCAGGGATCCCAAAACACCTCTGGATATCAACAAGACCAGGCAGATAGCTCAGGAGATCATTAAGGTAAGAAGGACTTTGCAGAGGGATTTGTGTTGAATGTCTTTTGAAGAAGGCAGCTGCTCTCTTCCAAGGCTTCATTCTGATGGAAGAGAGAATTTTCACTGCACTGGACTCCGGCTGTAAAAGAGTCTCTGGATTTTATTTAGATACATTAAAAAGTTTATGATTTTCTCTTTTGCTTTCTCCTTTCACACAGTGTTTATTCAAGGCAGTTTTCCCCAACCCTAACCATTTTTAAGATGTGTAATGAATACAGTGCTGACTAGGATAATCCTGGAAGTTGAAGTCTACGCATCTTTAAAATGGTTAAGGTTGGAAAACACTAATTCAAGGCTACTTTCTCTCCTTCGAATCGTCTCAGCAGAAACATGACTCTGATCCAAGCCGTAAGACTTATTCATTGGCCTCAAACCTAGATACATGTTCATGATTCTTGACTGTGGTGACATCTTAAAATAACGTGAATCACAGGTCTGTTGCCGCTGGGGAACCTTTTAAAACAAACGGCCATTGCATCATTGTTTGGGTGTTTCCACACTGTGCTAAACAATTGTCCTTTAACCATGTTTTAGTTAATTACAATACTGAATTCATACACAAAGCTGTTAAACTGTGTTTCACAGTGGCTATCTTCACACAATTTGCTAAGCAACAATCAAACAACCCACCTAGGGAACATAAATCGGACAATTGAGTGGATTTTGAATGAAGACTGAAACAAGATCGAAACAATGATATATTTTTCTGTTTTAACACGCTTTCTCCCATTCATTAAACATACAGGTGATTATTTTTCCTCCTAGGGCATGGGGTACCTTCATGCAAAAGGGATCGTGCACAAAGATCTCAAATCCAAGAACATTTTCTATGAAAATGGAAAAGTCGTGATCACTGACTTTGGCCTGTTTGGAATTTCTGGAGTGGTTCAAGAAGGAAGGTAGGTTTTTCCATGATTGTAGTTCTGGTTAGTTTCTCTTAGCTGTCAGGTTCAAAATCTACACCTCTGATTTAGCTGTGGAATCCAGAATCCATCCAAAGAAGTATAGGTAATCCCTGACCAGTTGCTTAGCGACTGTTTGAAATTACAATGGACTCCCAGAAAGGAACTTATGGCCTGGATTTCAGGTTCCAATGTCAATTCACATACACTGCAGCCAGATCATCTGGCGGCAGTGTATGTGAATTGACATTGGGTGTTCTGCAGTGTATGTGAATTGGATTTTGGGTGTTCTGCAGCCAGCCCACATTTATAACAGTTTGTAGTGCCCCATGCTCACACGACCACGATTAACTATGTTTTTGTCAGAAATTAGAATTTACTTCTGGTTTCCAGCAAAAATGGGGTTGCTTAGTTAACAACCATGGTGTTCACTTAATGACCGCTGCAAAGATCATAAAATTAGATATAGTAATATAGTGACCTACCTTATGACTGTCACGACTTACAACCAAAATTCAGGCTGAATTATGGTTGTAACTAGAGGACTACCCGCATTTCTTTTAAATTTGTAACATCTGTGCTTTTATTTTTGCAAGCCTCCCAGTGTTATTTGGAATTGGGCAGCCTCTAAAACCAGTGGTTCTCAGTTCCAGCAACTTTGTCCACCTATGTGTGGATTTCAACTCCCAGCATTCCCCAGGCAGCATGCCTATATTAACAACATGGCTGGATATGTAACTATTGGCGTGGGGCTTTTTCTTGGTTAAGGTTTATTTTTTTAAAAAAAACAACCCGATACTGATCTTCAGTACCTCAACCATTTATGATCAGAAAATAATTTCATCCTGTATGGACTTGACCTGGCTTTTCATAGAGAAAGATTTGCAAATTCAGGTTTTGATATCCACAGATGAGATGGAAATAAAAATAGGGATCATCTCAGTGATAGTCCATAATGATGTCATTTCTGTCTAATCAGAAGAGAGCTGGAAGGTCTTTTAGTGACTAGTCCAAGCAGGAGACCCTATACTATTTCAGACAAGTGGCTGTCCAGTCTCTTCTTGAAAGCCTCCAGTGATGGAGCACCCACAACTTCTGGTGGCAAGCTGTTCCGCTGGTTAATTGCCCTCACTGTTAGGAAGTTTCTCCTTAGTTCCATGTTGCTCCTCTCCTTGATTAGTTTCCCTCTGTTGCTTCTTATCTTGCCTTCTGGTGCTTTGAAAAATAAGTTGACCCTCTCTTCTTTGTGGCAGCCCCCCAAATACTGGAATACTGCTATCATGGTCATATCATATCATCATATCATATGTGATACCTTATCATCTAATAGAAATTCCCCAATGCTTTTTTTCATTCACCTGGATTTAAATCTCAGTTTTGCTACTTTCAAATTTACAGCCTGGTTCTTATCTTGGAAACTTTCGTAACAATATGACAAATTTTTGTTCTTACATTTTATTTGTTTGATGTATTTGGCTATTTCATTACTGGAAAGCCATTTTGTTCCAACAGAAATAAAATGCTGATAAACTTGTGTGACATGCAACGCGTCATATATTTAAAATTTCCTATGAGAGGCAGCTAACGTTAGAGTTGCTTTTGATTCTTCACCCAATTGCCACAACCATGTAGTAATTCTAGGAAGCCAATGACCACATTTTTCCCGGACTGTCGGTTCCCAGGCTCGCTGCTGAGAAAGAAGGAGATATATTTGTTCTTTATCACTAATTTTGCTTGAAAACAGGCTTCTGCACTTGGAGGCTCATAATTTGCACCAAATAAGGACTTCCTGGAGTGCCATTGAATCAGTACAAAGACTGTTAAGCCCCTGTTTTGAACCCTCTCGTTGAATTCAATGGGATCCACACCCTTCAAGTTGTAGATCCGAGTAAAGAAGTATGAAGTTGCTGTCAAAGTGCATAAGTTTAAGTGGAACATGCTTGATTTTCTTTGCAAGACTAAAACTCACTATCGAAATAAATTTTTTAAGACTTGGAATTCAAGCCGAGAGCCATATTTCAGGAATGGTAGAGGCTACATAGAGTTAATGTTTACTGCTGTTGCCTCCAAACCCAGGCACCAGAGTTTGGCTTGATAAGAACTTGATCCCTGAATTATAGAGACACACTTTAACTTTTGCAAAGGGGCTTCTTTGTCCACCTGAAAATATAAATCACCACATCATTCAGGGAAAGCAAAAACCATTTATTAAAGGGGTGGGGATTCAAGTCCTTTTATAGGGTACAGAAACAAATGATACATACATTCAGTATATGTCATACGTCAGTAAGCAAACGATCAAAGAGTAAAAGACATTGATTGCATGTAAATCTTGAACAATAGAAAAGGCATATTCTAGATAACATTCCACAAGTGACAAATTTACGGGCCACACTACTCTTTCCCAGCTAGATTTGTATCGTTCTTGAAAGTATTCAAAGACTTTCAAATACACGGTCTATTGTGTAGTTGCTGAAAAAGCAAGTTCTCACATACCAAAGAAATGGCCTTGGATAAGAAGGGAAAAAATGTGTTTTCTTAAATTTGAAAAAAGAGGCCTAGACTGCCGTGTTAAAATAGCTAATATCCCCTTTTAAAACGCTAATAATGAAGCCTAAAATTTGAGGCAACAGTACCTAGGACTTTAGGAAACAAAGGTCAGAATATTGTCCAGTCTAGTCCAACCCCCTGCTCAGGCAGGAAACCCTACACCACTTCAGACAAATGATTGTCCAATCTCTTCTTAAAAACCTCCAGTGTTGGAGCATTCACAACTTCTGGGAGACAAGTCATTCCACTAATTAATTGTTCTCACGGTCAGGAAATTCCTCCTTAGTTCTAGATTGGTTCTCTCCTTGATTAGTTTCCATCCATGGCTTCTTGTCATGCCTTTGGGTGATTTGGAGAATAGGCTGCTATCGTGTTGCCCCTTTAAGATGTGTGACTGGTTGAGGAATTCTGGGAGTTGAAGTCCACACACCTTAAAGTTATTGAGGTCAAGAAGCACCAGGATAAAGAATCATTTGTCAGTGGAGCAATTACATACTTGGGAATCAGAGTCTGGGCTTATTTGGTTCAGGTCTACTTGAATTCAGCCAGCCCTGCCTGCAACCCACCCCTGTTTTAATCTCCTTCTTTCTGACATCAGGCGTGAAAACGAACTGAAGCTGCCCCATGATTGGCTCTGCTACCTGGCTCCCGAGATTGTGCGCGAGATGGCTCCCGGGAAAGGCGAGGATAAGCTGCCCTTCTCCAAAGCTGCGGATGTCTATGCTTTTGGGTAAGAATGTGGAAAGGTCATAGTAGGGGATTCTTGTCGAGGTCAGCCAAAATATCCTGCCTTTCTGGAAAAAAAGAAAGACATCTGGAGAAAGCTAAGCAGGTCTGGAAGAGGTTAGCACCTGCATGGAAGACAAGCTGAAAACCCCATATAGTCCATTTTGAAAAGCTTGTCTGGAAAATGTTGAGAAAGACACAGTCAGTGCCTTGATGGCACCCCATGTCATGCACTGGAAAAGTCATACTGTGTTGTACACAATCATGAATTCTAACCACTGTGCCACCAGGTGGCACAGTAGTTAGAATACAGTAGTGCAGGGGAACTCTACCCTCTACCAGCAAATTCGATCCTGACCAGCTCAAGGTTGACTCAGCCTTCCATCCTTCCAAGGTCGGTAAAATGAGGACCCAGATTATTGGTGGTGATGTGCTGACTTTGTAAACTGCTTAGAGCAGGGGTGTCAAACTCATGTCACCGCATCGTCACATGATGTATTGGGACTTTTTTTCCCCTTTGCTAAATCGGGCGTGGGCAGCACATGCCACATTTGGCCTGTGGGCCAAGGGTTTGACAGCCCTGACTTAGAGAGTGTTGCAAAGCAGTGTGAAACGGTATATAAGTCTTAAGTGCTATTGCTATGGTAGAGCAGGAAGACTAATTCCCACCTGCCCCCCCCCCCCTCAAATAGTTCATATACTGCTAATACTCTCATTGTCGTGACTTTAACCGGGTCAAATAGTATCTCACAGGGCAACTGTTTGTGAACCAAGTACCTCAAATGAGCTAAATTACACAATGCGTGCAAAATACAAGGACCCATGATTCCCAAGGGACTGAAATTTGGGGAAGCTGTGGCTGCTTCAGTGTGGCTGGGTTGTTGCTACCGTCACATCATGATTTTCACTTCCACTTAGCAGTTATACACGATGCAATTAAGCGTTTGAAACGGTGGAAAAAGGTGCTAACATGTTTTCAAAAATCTAGTGAAATATTTGCATACGTGGGCGTGAGTGTTAACCTGTATTCACTGATTTTTATATTTTACATTTTGTGAAAATTAATTACATTTCAAAAGTCATGACATTTGAAAATTGCTGTTCCGGGAAACCTCAACTCTCCCTTTTTGGAAAAAAAGAAAAAAAGAAAAATAGTTTTTTCTCTCCAAGCACAGTCCCAATCACAGGTAGTCCTTGACTTACAACAGTTCATTTAGTGATGGTTCAAAGTTACAAAGGCTCTGAAAAATGTGGCTTATGACCCTTTTTCATAGTTATGACCTTTGCAGCATCTCCAGGGTCACATGATCAAAATTCAGATGCTTGCCAAATGGTTCGTGTTTATGACCGTTGCAGTGTCCCAGAGTTATGTGATCACCTTTTGCAACTTAACAATTTGCAATTCACTTAACAACCGGGTTACTAACCTGTCAACTGCAGTGATTCACTTAACAACTGTGGCAAGAAAAGTCATAAAATGGGGCAAAATTCACTTAACAAATGTTTCACCTAACAGAAATTTTGGGCTCCATTACGGTCATAAGTCAAGGACTACCTGTACAGCCATCTTCTCTAACTTAAGAGTTTTTTTTTTAATTTGTATAGTTTGTCACACAGTCAGCCAGATGTTCAGACTGCATTGGCATTTTTGTCTACCTCTTATTATTAACTTAAATTATTAAGAGTTGTCTTAATGTTTTATACCAATAATCCTCGATTTACAATGGTTCACTTAGTGACCATTCAAAGTTACAATGGCACTGAAAAAAGTGACTTATGACTGTTTTTCACAGTTACGACCATTGCAGCATCCCCATAGTCACGTAATCAAAATTCGGACTATTGCAGCAAATGACTCATATTTATGACGGTTGCAGTGTCCTGGAGGTCATGGGATCCCCTTTTGCAACCTTCTGATTAGCATAGTCAATGGGGAAGCCAGATTCACTGAACAACAATGTGATAAACTTAACAACTGCAGTTATTTGGTTAACAATTGTGGCAAGAAAGGTCGTAAAATGGGGCAAAACTCACTTAATAACTGTCTCACTTAGCGACATAACTCTTTGGTTCCATTGTGGTTGCAAGTTGAGGACTACCTGTACTGCAGTTCACAGCATTGTTATGGTCCTTCACTGAATTAGATGTGGGTTTACAACCCAAGAATTTGAGACTGGAAGGGGTGCATTTCAAAAGCAAAATGTTTAAGTATCAGGATGCCAAATATAGGAGGTCTATATGTTGGAAAACTCCAAGGGCAATGTGTCAAAAACATGTCAATTATGCTTTGTCCCAAACATACGTGTTTTACGTTGACACTACGTTTGTGTGTCATGCTTAATTAAGCTAGTGAAACCTGGCAGCTTCATTTGTGCATTTTCTATTTGTTAAAATGTGTTATGATAATCTAGACCAGGGGTGTCCAACCTTGGCAACTTTAAGACTTGTGGACTTCAACTCCCAGAATTCCTCAGCCAGCATTGAAGTCCACAAGTCTTAAAGTTGCCAAGGTTGGACACCCCTGATCTAGACTGTGGGATTTTCAGTGGTACCTCGATACTCATTTTTAATTGGTTCTGGGAAGCCCAACGAGTACCAAAAACGATGAGTGCCAAACAATTTTTTCCGATAAGGAATAATGTAGTGAGTTGAAAGGCAGCCAACACTGAGAAGTTCTAACTTGTGCGTTGAATACCAAACAAACGATGAGTACTGGGACAAAATTTTTACCAAGTTTGATGAGTTTCAAAGCAGTTGAGTATCAGATACCACTGTATATAGTTAATAGTTCAGGATGTTGTGCAACCCTAGAATATGGAGTTAATTCAGGAACAGAATTAAGCACGTTGGACAATTCCCTTGCCCAGAGGCTAGACAGGGGTGTGGTTTGCTTCCTGGTGTATGCAGGTTTTGTGGTAAGTGGTAGCCACTTTATGAAAACGCCAAGAGCACGTTGTCACAATACTGGTTTCCAAGTTTCCTTCCAGCTATTGAAACAATACTCCCGATGGAATGTTTTGGTTTGCAACACCCAACAACACCAGCCAGCATGACATTGTTGGAAAGCAGGCAGAAAAGCAGTGTTTTGCAAGAGCTTGTGTCACTTTCAGGATTCTGTCAGCCCCAGAATTTAAAAAGATAAAATTCACCCAGGTTGGCCTGGCATTTGATTTATTTAAACCCTACCTTTTATCCAGATGTTCAAGTGGCAAACACAGTGTTCACTCCTATCTTCCAGCTAGAACGTGCTGCTTCATGTGGCAGTCTGTTCCACTGGCTGATTTTAAAGGAGCTTGAATGAATGAATGAGGGAATGAGTGAGTGAATGAATGAATGAATGAATGAGGGAGTGAATGAAAGAATGAGGGAGTGAATGGGGGAGTGAATGAGCGTATGAGTGAGTGAGTGAATGAATGAATGAGTGAATGAATGAATGAGGGAGTGCATGAATGAATGAATGAGTGAGTGAATGAATGAATGAAAGAATGAGGGAGTGAATGGGGGAGTGAATGAATGCATGAGGGAGTGAATGAGTGAGTGAGTGAATGAATGAATGAGGGAGTGCATGAATGAGGGAATGAATGAATGAGTGAATGAATGAATGAATAAATGAAAGAATGAGGGAGTGAATGAATGAATGAGTGCATGAGTGAGTGAATGAATGAATGAATGAATGCTTATTTGGTGACATGACTGTCAACATTGCAGACTTTCACCATGGAATTGCTTTGTTTCTCAGGACCGTGTGGTACGAGCTCCAGGCCAGAGAATGGCCCTTTCAGAGCCAGCCAGCAGAGGCCTTGATTTGGCAGATCGGAAGTGGTGAAGGAATGAAGCACGTCCTGCAAGCAAGTAGCCTGGGGAAAGAAGTTGGGGTAAGTAGATACGGGCTCTGCCCTCCTGGCCAAACCTCAACGCCATGGAGTCCCAGAGTTGGATCCAGGAAGTTTGGAACGAGGTCCTGCCTGGGGCAACAGAGAGGAAGAATACACTTCCCACTCACATATTGTGCCTTTGTCTCATTGATCAGATGGGGCTTGAATTTAACTTCTCAGTCCTCCCCAGGAGCCTTTCCTTGGGCACCCAAGCATGCGTCCTTTTTATTAATTTGGTTTACATCTCACTATTCATTTAAGAGCCCAAGGTGGCACACATTGTATTCTATCCTCTTTAAAATAATTAGCAATACAGGTAGTCCTCAATGAAATGATTAGTCATTTAGCAACCAGGGGAAGTTACAACAGACCCCTCCCCCAAAGTATTTATGACCCAGTTTCGGAGTTCCAACAGTGGCACTCCCCCCCCCCCCATAGTCACATGACTTACATTTCAGGTGCTTGGCAACTGGCTCGCCATTATGATCAGTTGCCATATTCTGCAGTCATGTGATGCGATTAAGACTTTTTTTTTTTTTGCTAGACAGGCTGGTTTCAGGCAAAAAAAAAAAAATCTCATCGGAATGCATTGACTTGCTTAATGACTGCCATGTTCACTTAACCATTGTGTTTGTTTTACAATTGCCGTACTCACTTAATGGCTGCTGCTGCTGCAAAAAAACACTAAATTCAGACCAGTCATGTAGGTGCCTCAATTTCAGATATTTCTCTCTCTGGGCACACTGAAAATATATCTGGCGAACAAAACTCCGTATTGGTGACAGGAAGGGCCTCCGGCCAGTACAACACTCTGCTAGCTCCATTCAATTGCCCAGATTCCACCCTGCAAGGGATAACGGGGTCGTTAAAAGAAGATGATGATGTAGGTGCCTCAATTTACAACCATCATGACTTACAACAAAAATTCCAGATTCTGTAAGTTGAGGACTAGCCTCATAGGCTCTCCTTTTTCATCCTGCCCAGTTTCCCAGGATAGTGACTTCCCCTGCCTGATACCTGAACCTCCCCTTCCCCTTGGGTGGGCTCATGTCAATTTACTATCCAACTGCAGCAGTTGACAGATTATACAGGAGATGCAAGAAGAAATACAGTATGCTTGGTTCCTGTGCAATTGGGGGCCCTGTTTTCTGTATCCAATTAATAACAGAATGGCAGAGTTGGAAGGGACCTTGGAGGTTTTCTAGTCCAACCCTCTGCTCAAGCAGGATCCCTATACTACGGGTGTCAAACTCAAGGCCCGGAGGCCAGATCCAGCCCACGGGGCGCTTAGATCTGGCCCACGGGGCCACACTGGAAACACCAAGGGACTCATGGCGCCTCTGTCAGCTCAACATCACTCACAACCCTCCCAAACTCCGTTTTTGGCTGTGACGGCCTCCCGCAGCGCTCTGCCAGCAAAAATGGAGCTCGAGAGGGCTGTGTTCCCAAGCTCCGTTTTCACAGGAGGCCATCGCAGCCAAAAACGGAGTTTGGGAGGGGTGCCCCAACACAAGTGATGTCAAGCTGGCCACGCCCACCCTGGCCACACCCACCCAGCCCCCAAGATCAAACAGAACCCGGAGGCGGCCCTCAATGAAATCGAGTTTGCCCTGTACCATTCCGGAGAAGTGGCTGTCCAGTGTCTTCTTAATGAACGCCTGTATTTATAGACGCGATAGAGCCAGAGATCTGCAGCTAAGTCCAATCTGTAAATCTCAAGGTCTAACGTATGGCTTTACAGCTCCTTCCAAGTCAGGCTGGTTAAAAGCAGCTCTTAGAAGTCGCCATCTTCAAACTGGCCATTCGGACTACATTGCCACACAGGATTACAGATGTTGTAGTGCCATTTATTGGTGCAGCTTGCAAGTTAACCCAGGCTATGTTTTAAACCTTGTACAGTTTTGGGCTCTTCCTAATCAAATGTCTTTCTTTTCCAAAAATGCTGTGGGTTAATTATTTTTTTTAAAAAAGATTGATTGTCGTCTTGTAGGAAATCCTCTCGGCGTGTTGGGCTTTTGATGTGGCTGAACGGCCCAACTTCACCCTCTTGATGGAAATGCTTGAAAAATTGCCAAAGCTTAACCGGAGGCTCTCTCACCCGGGACACTTCTGGAAATCAGCAGAGTACGTACTCTCTCTCCTTGTCTCGCCTATTTCCAAGAATTGCATTTTGTTAGGCCTTTGATTGATGAACAAATGAGACATGGTCCTAGGGAGGCAGGTTTGACAGACACCTCCATATTTATTGTAACCTATTAATAGGGAAGGCTTGTGTGTGTTTCCCAAATAAAGTGGCTATTTAATAAAGTGGGACTTCTTTAAACAAATCATAATACCATCCAATATTAAATCTGCCTCCTCTGTCTCCTCCTCCCAAACACTTTTTCTTTCACTTTCATTTGTTTTCACTGTGGGTGTGAGTGTGCCAAGATGGAGTTTTCCAAGGAGTCTTGTGCCATTTAAAAAGTATTTTTTTTGATACCTGAAGCTAGCTGGCTGAATGGTTGGCAGGCAGGCAGGAAGCAAGGGAGAGGGAGACAGGAGGAAGAACATGGGAGAAGGAAGGAAGGGAGAGAGAGAGAGAGAAAGAGAAAGAGAGAAGAAAGGATGGAGAGAGAGAGAGAGAGAGATAAAAAGAGAGAAGGAGGGTTGGAGAGAGAGAGCAAAAGAGACAGAGAAGGAAGGAGGGAAGGGAAGGAGAGAGAAAAAAGAGAAGAAAGGAAGGACTTCTAAGAAGGGAGGAAGGCTGTCAGACTAGGGAATTCTGGGAGTTGAAGTCCATGTATTGTAAAGTTGCCAAGATTGGGAAACACTGCCTAACAGAGCTTCAACTGCCATCTTGACTTTTGAGATCACCTCATAGACATCCCTGAAGCCTAGACAAGCCCTCCTAGCCAAAATGCAACCAGCCGTATCCGTCTTACAGATAGTCCTCGATCTACCACCATTTGTTTAGTAACTGTTCAAAGTTACAATGACACTGAAAAAAAGTGACAATCAGTCCTCTCGCTTACAACCGTTGTTACAACCTCGGTACTTGGCGTTAATTGCTTCTGGAAGTTGTGATGAATACTAAAAAGGAGGAATTCCAAACAAACCACATGACTTTACTCTGTAATCCTTTGTTTTGGCCGGGAAGAACTTTCTGTCTGTCTGTTTTCCATGGCCTTTCCAGCATGGCCAATTTCCTGTCTGTTCTCCGCAGTCATCCCCCTATCGTAGCACGTCGAGTACTAAACAAACACCGAGTAGTGGGACAACATTTTCACTTTAAAATGCATTGAGTACCAAATTCAATGAGCTTTGAAACAATCAAGTACCAAGGTATCACTGTATATGGCTTCTTCATATGTTACATGAATCTAGCTGTACTGTTTTACAAACCACAGTTTCTGGTTCTGGATACTGCCAAGTTTAGGTTATTCATCAAACCCTAGTCTATGAAGTGAACCTAACCATTGATCTCTAGTTAAGGATCTTCTCTACCCCCTTGAGGGTTCAGAGATAGTGTGAATATCTAAGAGGCATGGAATTGCAGGTAGTCCTTGACTTATGACCAGTCCCTTAATAATGAACCTCTCCTCAGTTACTTACACGTTTTTGGCATTCTGCAACCACCCCACATTTATGACCATTTGCAGTGTCCCAAGTCACATCACCCCAATTTACAATGTTTTGTCAAAAAACTGGGCTTTATTTCTGATTTCCAACAAAAACTGCCCAGTGCAGACAATAAGTTCATTTAATGACTGTGGCATATGCTTTACAACCACGGTGATCCACTTCATGACCGCAGCAAAAAAAGTCACAAAAATCAGTCACTGTCACATGGTGACCCACTTAATGACGGACATATTTTATTATTGTAATTCTGGACTCATTTATGGTCATAAGGTGAGGACTATCCGTACTGTTTTTATTTTCAGGATCTTTTATAGAATCCTAAGATCTAATCATGCTAATCATGTCAGAAGAAACCTCAGAGGTCTTTTTTTCCCCCAAGAATGTTATTAATAATTTCATAAATGTATTAATTTCATGAGGTAAAAGTAAAATAAAGAGGAAAGGGGGAAAAGGAGAAAAAAAGGAGAAAGAGAAGTGTAGGGCAAAGAGGCAGAGAGAAAAAATGGCATTAGCTTTCAACCTTTTTCAGCCCCGTCAAACACAAAAGAAAATGGAACTTTGGAGTTCTTACCCAGAGCAAACAGAAAACAAAAAAACCCTCAGACCATCCAAGACCCCCCATTTCTGTGGGATCAGTTCAGTTGTCCAGAAGGTGCTTTTTTCATGAGGCAACTGGACTTTCTGGTTTTTCTTTGAAGGCGTTTCACTTCTCCTCCAAGAAGCTTCTTCAGTTCTGGATGGATGGTGGAGAATTCCAGTCAGAACCGAAGAAGCTTCTTGGAGGAGAAGCGAAACGTCTTCAAAGAAAAACCAGAAAGTGCAGTTGCCTCTTGAAAAAAAAGCACCTTTAGAGTAACCATGGCCTGGATATGATGGAGAATCTCCAGAGATGATCAGTTCAGTTACAAAAACGAGCTCTGAAGGGCCAAACACACAAATCTCCTTTTTTTCCCCTGTGCTCCTGACCTTCTAACCTTTTTGACCGTGAACTAACTCTCCTCCCTTTTTTGTGTGTCTTCCTTCTACTTTCTCTCTTACAGGTTGTAGCTCCTGGCACAATAGCTGAATTTCCTCTTGCATGAGCACTTGTGACTAATCCACCCAGCAGCTCGGACCTTGTGCGCGCACCGTTTCTGTTTTTAACCCTTGAGTGCCCCCGATGCTGCTAACGGTTCCTTCTTCCGTCCCGCCTCTTTTCTTGGTGTGGGCTGCTCATGTGAAGTAACCTGTCTGTTAAGAACTCTTCGCTTCTCTATTAACACTGAACTTAGAGGAAATTTTTTCCACTTATCCAGGCCCCTTGGAGCAACTCACCTTGTCAGGTTCCCCCCATTTCCCTCCCCCCCAGTGCTTTCTCTGTCACACACACACACACACACACACACACACACATTCTCTCTCTCTCTCTCTGTACTCCTATCACCAGCCTGGTGTGCAAGGCGTAAGCAAACACAAAATGCAAAAACCTAACAGCATTGTGTGCTTGTCTTTTGTAGGCGAGTTTTAAAATAAAGACACGTTGAACTGTAGTGTGCATTTGACTTCCAGCAAGAGAGACATTAAAAAAAAACACTGGGTTGATTCTTCCATAACAGCTCCAGTGGGGCTAATTAGAAATGTATAAATTTTTATCCTACTCAGCCAGGGGATGAATTAAAACTGAGTCTTTAAAACAAAAAACAAAACCTGAACTGATGAGTAATTGTAACAAGTGCTGAGTTGGCTAATTTTTCATTGTGTCAAAAGTGGTATATCTTTGCATGTTTCAAAGGCAATGGCATCACTTCCATTGTCTTTTAGAATATTGTATACTTTTCCTGTTTATCACTTTAATGTATATTCTGCCTTTCTATAAATGGACGAAGCATTACTGCATGCTTGAAAAAGAAAGAAGGGGGGGGGAGAGAAATGCTTCCTTTTAAGATCGTGCTTTGTACATTATTATTATTTGTATTAAAAGCAAGAACATTTTAAAATGGCCGTCCGGTAGAAATGGGTACTGTAGTTTAATGAGGAATTTGAACACGAAGTCATTTTACTAATTTACAGTGTAGTTCTATTTATATTTGCATTGTCATTGGTGCTCTCTGAGCTTGGTTGTTTGCTTTCAGACATTTCGTGACCCGACTAGGTAACATAATCAGTGCTAGTGAGTGTGGGGTTTGCTCCCTTTTTATATACAATAGTTTGCCCTACCAGTGCAGGTTGGGATGTGATTTTCTTCTTGGTAGTTCCTTGATTAGACTATTGTTTTTTGCTTGATTGTTTGTGTGGTGTTAATCCTTGCTTATCTGGGTGTTGATTGCTTCTTTCTTACTGCTTTTATTGTCTCTTGAATGGTGTGTAAATGTGGTTTACTTCTATGTGTCTGTTGAGGGCTGAACAGGAAGCAAACCCCACACTCACTAGCCCTGATTATGTTACCTAGTTGGGTTATGAAATACCTGAAATTAACAAGCAAGTTCAAAGAGTACCAAGGACTCCACGGTTCAATTCTGAACTCCTGATTTATCCAAATGCATTTATGTCTGTTTTAAAATAAGCAAGAAATCATTACAGCCTAATTGTTTCAATGTTTCCAGTTTCACCTATGGCATTTTTCCTTTATGGAAATTTTATAGCAGAAAGCAAGGGAGAGATTATTTCTGTTTGGCTAATCAACTGCAGAAGGAATTAAATTGATGATAAGATGCCTTATGTCAACTCATAAAATATTTCTCTGGTCTTAAAGGGAGGGGGGAGTAGTGCAGCAGCTTGCAAAAGTGCATTCCATAAATGTTTTCAAAGATAGTAACCAAGTGACCAAGATTTCTGCCGGGCAAAATTCTAACTGGAGAGCATGATTGATGACTCTTGGCTATGGATGTGTCCCATTGGAGAATATGAATTACGATATACCCAGGCAATGCCGGCATGTCCCAATAAATCCTTTTTAAGTTTTGGAAGTTTGGCTCAAGACTCATGATTTAAATGGGGATAACTGCCAGAATCCTGACACCTTAGACTAGAGCATGGGAAACTCCAGCTCTTCCAATTCCAGCTTTTCTTCTGCAAAGGATCTCAAAAGGAAAGGCCTATAGTCTGATAGCTAGAAACAACCTGGGTTTCATTCTACTTAGGCTTTCAAACATCCAACTACATTTCTTCATAGATAATAGCGAGCAAAGCATCAGAAGAGAATTACCCAGCTAAATACAAAACCTTTCTCCGTGTTTATATTTAAATGTGGCCCATAAATAACATCCCTCACATTATTTCCTTTCATAGTACAACTAGTCCTTGACGTACAACTGTAAAGGAGCCTGGAATTTCCGTCATGATGGCCATAAGTTGTGGAACCTACAGGACCAAGCCACTTGTATAACATTTTATTTTGCCATGGCCATTAAGTGAACATGGCGGTTGTAAAGTGAACTCTGCTGTCATTAAGCAAATACTGCAGTCACTCGGTGAACCCATTGTCGGCAATGGGTACTTTTTGCTGGAAACCCCAAAAAAAACCCAAAACCAGCAAAAAAAAAGTTGTAAATGATGTGACTGAGGGGTCCTTGGTGCTCTCTGAATTTGTGTGTTTTCTTGCAGATGTTTCATTACCTAAACTAAGTAACATCATCAGTGCTAGTTGATGTTATCTAGTTTAGGTAATGAAACATCTGCAAGAAAACAAACAAGCTCAGAGAGCACCAAGGATCCCCTCAATTCAAGCCTGAGCTACAAATATTCTTCTTTAAGGATTATATGACTGTGGAACGTTGCAAATGGCCATTGATGCAGGCCAGTTGTTGAGTACCCAAAATGCAATCACCTGACTGGCAGGTGGAGGATGGCCATCAGATCTTTGAATCTGTCGTCACTTAGAATGGTCGCTGGGAAAGAGTTCACTTTATGACCATGGTGGCTCCTTAACGACCTTCCCCCAAAAGGTAATAAAATTGCAGCAGTAGATGATCTATTTTATGACTGTCACAATGGGTGATGGTAATTGGGAGGCTCAATTAAGGTTGTAAGTCCAAAAAGTGCCCCAAGAGTCACAAATACTCTAGAGTTGCCCTTCTTGTAGGACAGGGATATGAATGAGATTCTCTTAGCCTGGAAAATTATTTTTTTATGAGACAATGTAATGGGAGAAAGTCCCTAGTTGTTCAAAACATTTGAAGTGCGCACACATTTTCTATAGGAGAGCCTCAATGTATCTCCTTCTGTGTTGGAAATTGGAAACAATTAGAACCAGTTTGTTCACTGGCATTTCATTTTACAATAGAAATTAACATGCAACTGTTTTAATTTCCTTTCCTTCCTCTTCCCCCCCCCTCCCCAATTCTCCTCCTTTTCCCCTTCAGCCTTAACAGTAGCAAAATGGCTATTCGTTTTGAACGATTTGCTCTGGGAGATCTGGAATCCAGTAATCAAAAGATATAGCTTGCTGTGTTTTAATGATCCTTGGCTCCTGTTTTTTCCCCCCCTTCTGTGACGTTCACACGCCTGGGGAAAAACTTGTCTGCGATCTTAAAATGGAAAATCCCAAAAGTTACAGAAGGAGAAGATGGCGAGACCTCATGCCGCCCTAGCAATATGGATGTTTGATGTGTTTGCTTAAGTCAGAGACTTCCTTTTTGAAATGTTTACATTTGAATGACTTTTTTTTTTCTGTGTGAATTAACGGTTAATAATAAACATGATAAAAAGGTGTCTTTTTTAAAAAACAACAACCCACCACCAAGCATTTTCACCAGGACTTTTCTTATTTCAAATTATTTGGGCACTATTTAAAGTGATTATAAAACTGGGTTTTGTTCGTAAAGAAGCAGAAGTTTAGAATGTTGCATTGAGAATGGGCCTTTTGTCAGCTGGAAGATTTTGACAGGTCTTGAGGGCAGCCTGGTAGTATATAAGCCATGGGTGGGGAACTATGCCCTTTTATAGCTTGTGGACTTCAACTCCCAGAATTCCTGAGCCATGCTGGCTCGGGATTTCTGGGAGTTGAAGTTCACAAGCCATAAAAGGGCCGTAGTTCCCCACTTCTGATCTAAGCTGTCTGCAGGGCACTGTTTCACCATTCCCAACGAGCCTTCCAGCTTGAGGGAAGGCCTGGAAAATTGTGGGCCCCTTTTTCCAACCTTCCCTGCCTGGTTGCAGTTTGAAAGTGTTATAATCCTGCTGGGTAGACAGGGCCACTGAGCCGGCATGTGCATCTCTGAAGCTGCCAAATTGAAAATGAGCATGAAATAAAATACATGCCATAATAAAGCCATCTCACCTGGAGAACTGAGATAGGTTGCGGCTGTACCTCTGAAAATCGCCACCTTAACTTTTATCTTGAAGAATTCCTTCAGACTGTGTCTATGCTGGTGTCCAGGGGCATTCCAGTCATTTTTTTATTTTTTGTTTTACAACAAACTGAAAGTGGCTTACTATCGATTTCCGGAATCTTGTTAAACCACCCAATCCCTTTCTTTGTGATCTGCATTCTAAGTTTCCTTTCAGATTGTGTAAATCCCCATTTATCCGATGCAGATTGGAAGCAGAATTTCTCATATATGAGACGGCAGGAATGAAGTGGGGGTTAAGGTAATTGTGTGTGCATGTGTGTAGTTCTTGCACACTTCTACACAGCTCCCACCCTCTCCTAAGCAACAATTACTTAATATTATGGCATGAATAGAAAAACTTGGATGCTCTTGATGCTCTTTTGTTGACTATAGATCCCATCATTCTGGCCTCTTGATAAGAGGGATAACACCCAGGTTAAATCCATGTTTTCCCTGTCCCCTTATGGAGGGATGTGGAAGCCCTGTGTATTCAGAACTGCCCTTTTTATGAACATAATAAATTAATAGTATTAACACAGTATATTGCCTTTAGCTTAATCTGGACCCAGCTCTTAGGTTGTTGACACAATATTTTATTTTATTTCTCATTTCTGAAACGATCTTTGGATTTAACATTCAGAAACATAGAATGGAAATAATATAACTGGTATAAACATTCTTTTTCTATCTCTCTGATCAATGGAACATGGAGAATAAAAATTGGAGTGGCATTATGGATCCTGGGAAATGAGTGACTGGTGACATTATGTGCTCAGTCCACTTTTGACATATAAACACTCCACCTTGGCAACTTTAAGATGTGTGGACTTCAAACTCCCAGAAATCCCGAGCCAGCCATGGGAATTCTGGGAATTGAAGTCCACAAATCTTAAAGCTGCCCAGGTAAAGAAATAGTGACCTGAAGTTACAAGCCAACTGTCTCTGTCTGCCAGTTCCTTAAAAGGTTCCTTAAAAATTACAATTATTTTTTAATATGCCCGGAAGGAAAATTACAAAATACACAAAGAGAATTCATACAAGTTGTAATTATTATAATAAACACTTAATAAAGTTAAGTTTATTTCTTGTTATGTCCTTGCTCCACCAAATTCCTGTGTCCTGGCTCATGTGGCAGCCGAAACTCTGTCCCCCGCACCCTCTAATCTCTACTTTTACTCTCTGTTTACACTTATATATCCAGATGCATCTTGCCAGCAAGTAAGATAATGACTCACGTTTCCCCCTCATCTAAGATAAAAGGAATATTTCACAGGAACACATATACAAACACAAAACAAGAAAAAAAACTGTGCTATCATGTGTTAATTACTCTTTATGCTGATTGTAAGAAAATGAATTAGCACTGTGAGATTGTGAGGTTATGTCTTTCTGGTTCTTTTTAAAGGGAAGCACATCTGTACATCAAGAGTCTCCCTAAGTCACAATTTAAACCCTGTACGTAAACTTTTAAGTCTGTAATATGGGAGAAAATTTACTTTTTCTTCTAAATGTAAACTTTGTACAGTAAATACACACACCTATATATAAATATATAAATATTTTCTATCAACTCAGTTTGTCTTCTGAAATGGCTATTAATTTAATTTAAAAATGGTTAGTATTAACAAAGAAGGAGTTCTGTATTGTTTTTTTCAGCTGTTGAGAGGGAAAAAAAAGTCTGAAAAAGAACGTTCTATGCTAATGAAATTCTGAATATTTTAGAGTTTCTTTAAGTGAATAAAATTTTGCTCTGGATGAAACACCTGGTGTGATGACATGTTTTACAAAAATAATGCTGACTATTGATGTGGCTTTGGGATGTAAGTAAATATAACTTGGGTTAAGATAACTATAGTTGGGAATTGGGGATTCTGTAGAAAACATCAGATGTTTTCATCAATTCCTGAAAAAGGAGCTGCTATCTTTTTCTTATCTCATGCAAAAATACTAAATTTTTAGAGCTTTGACCGGGGGGAATCCAGGGAGGCATAGAGGGCAAATGACACGTGTTTTGTGATATCACAGGTGAAATAACACAACGTCTGTCTTCACAGCCAACCTTATGTTGCAAATGATACAATCCCATGGAAGTTATCTTGATACACATATCATTGTTAGACACCATTGTATGGATATTTCTGGATAGGCGCCGTAGCGGCGCAGTGGTTAGAATGCAGTATTGCAGGCTGATTCTGCCGATTGCCAGGAGTTCGATCCTCACTGGTTCAAGGTTGACTCAGCCTTCCATCCTTCCGAGGTTGGTAAAATGAGGACCCAGATTGTTGCAGACTCTGTAAACCACTTAGAGAATGCTGTAAAACACTATGAAGCAGTCGTATGTCTACATGCTATTGCTATTACTATATCTACAAACCTAAATACAGAAATGGCCCAGGAGAGACATTGGTATACTTAGACTTCCAAACCCTTAAAAATAATCCTTTGGCAAACATTTCTGAATGAACTGAACAGTTGTAGCATGAAACAGGACAACTAAAGTGTATCTTATACCAGTAATAGAATTCAAAAAGTTTTACTACTCGTTCTGTGGGTGTGACTTGGTGGGTGTGGCGTGGCTTGGTGGGCGTGGCAGGGGAAGGTTACTGCAAAATCCCCATTCCCTCCTCAACCCACTAACCTGATTTCCAGCTCCATTCTCCTGTGCAGGGCAACAAAAGAAGACCCAGCCAATCAGCTGAGACTTGGGAGGCGGAGAATAGATGCGGGCGGAGCCAGTCAGAGGTGGTATTTGCCGTTTCTCCGAACTACTCAAACTTTCCACTACCGGTTCTCCAGAACTGATCAGAACCTGCTGAATACCACCTCTGCCTTATACTAAAGCGATCTTTGTAGTTCCTGGGGAGGCCTTTCAAAGTGGACAAGGACAAAATTGTTAGTCCTTTTTTACATGCTTATAGGTCTTACACATAAGATATGATCCATTTGTCTCCTTAAAACTTCATAGACTCCCCAAAGGATCTGGCATCTATCTGGTATATGGACACAGAACTGATAGGGGTTAATGCATTCCTAAGCTATGAAGACAGAGCCTTCCAGGAATAGGGAACTAATGGAGGAGGAAGAGAAAATAAAATAAAAAAAATCGACAAGTTTTACATAGCTAAGGTTGAGAAACATAGGCCCAGAGACTTGTGACAAATATAAGGCAAAGGGTACCCAAGTCCTGAAGGCCAGCATGGCTAGTTTGCAAAGTCATCACCATACCAGCCTGCCTCCAACCTGAAATTGTATGCTCAGGTAGTTCTCGATGTACAAGCACAACTGGGACCAGAATTTCCATCGCTAATCAAGGCAATTGCCTATGGTAAATCTCAATCATCCAAAAGGCAACTGGACTTTCTTGGCTGTTTCCTTGAAGACATTTTGCTTCTCATCCAAGAAGCTTCTTCCGTTCTGAAGAACACTTGGGACAATCAAGGCAATTGTTTAAGTGAGTCAGGCCCAATTCTGTCAGGCTTATTAAGCAAACCCCTGCAGCTGTTAAGTGAAACAGGCAATCATTAAAGGTGTGGGAAGCTACCCCCTGACAGAGGAATGAAATGTTTTGAGAAATATTTAAAAAGGCATGATAAAATATTTCCCCTTGAAGAGAAATAAAAATCTTATGGGAGACAGAAACTCAGAGCGTCAGCTCCCTGCCACCCCCGAGCAGATACTGAGCTGGGGCAGCTTTAGAAATGCAGATTTGGTCATCCATTACTGCCTGCAGCAAGGTCTGAACAAAGGTAGAATTAGCCCTCAGCCACAATAGGAATTGCCCAACAAGCCCCTTCATGGCATCAGCAGACCAAGCTTCAACCAAGCTTGGCTCAGACAACCTACAGAGCCAGCTATGACCCCTACAGTAGCCAATAGAATACATGTCCTTGCACAGGAACAGGAAGCTCAAGTTCAAAGCCCAAGAGAAGGTATAAATACCCCCACACTCTCAACTCTATGTGGCACCACCCATATGCTTCTGCTTCATTAAACCATCTTTCCAATCAGCCTCCATGTTTCCAGTGTCTTTCTCCCGGCTTGGAACTGGACCAGATGAATATTTCTTCAAACCAGGGAATCTGGCTTCCCCCGTTGACTCTGTTGGTTGGAAGCTGTCTGGGAAAGTCATAAACGGCAATCGCATGATTTGCAACTGTCGCAAATACATGCCGGTTGCCAAGCGCCCAAATTTTGATCATGTTACTGTGGGAATGCTGCAATAGTCGTTAAGTGTCAAGGTCAGTCAGTCATATATCACTTTTTTCAGTGCTTCGTAACTTTGAACAGTTGCTAAACTGTTGTAAGATGAGGACTACCTTTAACGTGTCCTGGTGCCCCTTCTTCCCCTGTGTTTGAAGTCTGGGCTTCCTTTCTGGGTACATTCTGGTCCCAATGCTGGTAGGAACATTGATGTGCCTAGCTTTGCTGATAGGTAGGCCATAACTATGTAGCCCCTAGCCCAGAGGTGGCATTCAGCAGGTTCTGACCTGTTCTGGAGAACCGGTAGCAGACATTTTGAATAGTTCAGAGAACCTGGCCCCGCCCCCCATCTACTCTCTGCCTCCCGAGTCACAGCTGATCGGCCGGGTCTTCTTTAGTTGCCCTGCACAGGAGAACGGAGCTGGAAAGCAGGTTAGTGGAGTGGAGAGGGAATGGGATTTTGCAGTAACCTTCCCCCAGGAGTGGGGTGGGAATGGAGATTTTACAGTATCTTTCCCCTGCCACCGCCACCACGCTCACAGAACCGGTAGTAAAAACAATTTGAATCCCACCACTGCCCCAGCCGACAATAGCCATTTTAAAAAGGTGGTTTCCCTATTGCTATTCTGGGGATACAGCTAGTTGAAAAAAAGAAAGAAATACCACTGCTATGCTTTCAAAACTGAAGTGGTGTAGGGTTTCCTGCCTAAGCAGGGGGTTGGACTAGAACACCTCCAAGGTCCCTTCCAACTCTGTTATTCTATTCTATTCTACTATTGTTAAGAATTTAGCCCAAATCTGTTCTGAACAATATGGTAGGCTTGGCACACAGTGCCATTTTATTCCAGCAAAAAGAAAAAGACCTTTTCCCCCCCAGTTTACACTAATTTTAAACTATTAAGCTGCTGCATCCAAAACTGTAGAGACGGGGAAATCATTTGGAAGAATAAACTTTTAACTTTGGGTCACATGCCATTTCATTTGATTACCCAGTAATGTCCGATTTTGGCCAAAGGTTAACTTTAATTTCCTTTACTGGAAGGGGTGGCTCTGTCTTGTGTAATTTGTTGAAAGAATTTGCCAAAATCTCTGTAGCTAACGTGCTTAGTGGAATATTTCTCTCTTTTTTCCCCTCAATATTTTTTTATTTCTATAAATACATCATTGTTTTAACAGGGTGGTTCCAGGGTGTTTTACATTTTAAAACAAACATGACAATAATTCCATCTTGCTATTATTAACTTTTTTACATCATTTGATATTAATACATATTATTAGAATTAGAATTCTTTTATTGGCCAAGTGTGATTGGACACACAAGGAATTTGTCTTGGTGCAAATATTCTCAGTATACATAAAGAAAAGGTGCATTCATTAAGAATCAAGAATCATCAGGTACAACACTTAATGATAGTCATAGGGTACAATCAACCATCAAATCATACTAGGAAACAGTCAATATAAACCATAAGGATACAAGTGACAAAGTTACAGTCATACAGTCACAAGTGGGAGGGGAGGGGTGATAAGGAGTGATGAGAAGATTAATAGTAATAGTAGTGCAGACTTTGTAAATAGTTATCAATCTTAATTATTCCATATTTTAATGGAATATTTCTCATTGGCTTTCTAATGCAAAATAAAAAATAAAAATAAGCCTGTCCCAGAGGTTATGGAGGCTTCATACCAATCTTCCCAGGCTAAGGATTATGGAGATTGTAGTCTGCCTCTTTTGATCATACTGGAAGGTTCTGGCTTGCGAAATCCTCTTTCCCCTCCACCCCAAATAGGCCGAATTTGGAAAGCAATTAGTTGCACGCTCGTCCCTGTGGTGTAAAGCCCCGCAATATTTCAGATGTGGTCTCATGACCCCGATCATGGGTATTAATTACCCTATTGGCATGCTGCAATTATTCCTTAAGTTGACCCATAGCCTCCCTCCAACCCACCTCCGCGACTAGCGCTTGGGAAACACCAGAGAGCGGGTGGAAAATCGAGGGGTCGTGGGAATGGAGGCAAGCAGATCGCGTGACCAGTAGCATCCCTCAGTCACATTCAAGCTACTTTCGGCCACTTCGGGCTTTTAGGAAGCAGCACTGACCCGCACTTTATCTCCCCCCCCCCCCCCCCACCCCCGATCTCCAGGCAGGCTCCGCCCCGCTTCGCTCCATTCGAGCGCGGCGCCACTTCTGCGAGGGCCTCGTTTCCTTGCGGTAGGAAGAGAAAGTCCGATCGTCCAACTTGGCAAACTTGCCGGAATTCACTTTCCTTTCTCGGATTCCGCGGCCAGCTGCCGAAAATGGCCTTGCAGTCGCCTTATTTCAAACCGGTAAGTTGGGTTGATTTAAGAAGGGACGGAAAGAGATTCTCACCCGCCCACCCGCCTCACTTTACGACGCCAGGCATCCTATAATTTAGTATCTTGTGGCGGGTGCGCTTCCAAGATAGATTGAGCCAAGGTCAGGTTACGGGGCTTTTTAGGATAAGGTTTACCCCGTTATTTAACAGAATACCAGAGTTGGAAGGGACCCTGGGGGTCGTCTGATCCAACCCGT